TTTTAAAAGTCTATGCATTGAAGCAAAAGTATTGGTTTCCCATAGTTGGGCTATGATGGCTTATTATCCTAATATCTTCACCTAACCCATTCTAGATTATACTCCCATTAGATTGGCAGGAACAATTAATTGGGCTACCTTAGCCTGACTCCTTGGCATATGTTTTATTCTCATGTTGATAACTTTTACCTTTATCCATAGTCATTGACTTTGTCTCTTCTTGCTTTTTTTCATTGCTTAAGGACTAAGCCCTTTTTTCAATTTCATCCATATACAATTTGCCATTATGATTGGCATGCCTATGCTCTTCTTTCTGCCTCCATTATGTTGTTATCCCTTTTTTTGTGAAATGGGGTTTTGTAAAGCTGGGTTCTCTATCTTCTCTCATACCAACTAAGATACCAAATCTCAGCTTAGAGGAAACTTTATTACCAGTAAAATGCTAATTTGTCTAATTTAGGAGGCCATACCCTTGTGGATACATCTTTTCCTTGTCTTGTTTGAATAACTTAGGTTTACAGTGTAACATCCGGGAAAATTTAACCCTCATTTATTAACCTAATGAGCGTAATTAGTGCATAATTGTTGTGATTTCAACCTTAGAAGTGGGTCTGGATTGATGGTAGGCCACTCGGGCAATGAAAGAGGAAGAAAAAGTGAAGAATTGTTCTATATGCCACAGGCCCGGCTCGTGGCTTGTCCACTGCGGCTCACAGAGACAAATTTGAATAACAAGATTCTTTGTGCCATATGTCGCGGCGGAGGGCGCCATGTACCGCGACTACGGCCAAAATTCTGATATCTTAGTTATGTTCTACATGTGAAAATAGAAGAAGAGGAGGAGAGAAAAATGAAGAGCTTGACTTAGGCTTTGCTAAGGCATGGTATTGGCTCTCATTGTTGACATTTTAAAGCTTTCAAACATACAAGGTAGGTAATCTAAGCCTCATTCTTCCTTTCTTTCTCTCATTAATGATGATTTATGGTAGGGTTTGACTTGGGAGATGGATTAAAATCCATAGAAGTATGGGGTCTGATTTCATTGGTTAAAATAAGTATAATGGGAGTTGTTTAATGTCTTAAAATACCACATTATAATTTTAAAAGTGGCTGGTCTATAGAAGCATTTATTATCCAAAAATTATCATAAATGTGGTAGTTGAGAGAGGTTAATATGCATTAATGATGGTTTAAGGTGTTGCTAATGATAATGTGTATTAATGAAATTTAATGAGCCTATTAGGTGTGAATGAATAGTGATTAAGAGTTGATAAAAATAGTGTGGAGTTTTATGTTGATCAAGCTTCAAGAGTTAGATAATGATAAAATTCTGTGGTATGGATGTAGAAAGGTTTATTTTTTACACCATTTGAGCTTGTTCAAGCTTTGAGAAGTTGATATAATGAGGGATAAACCTTTAACCTCTCAAAGGTTTGAGGTAACCGGGAGAAACTTAATCTTTATAGTTGAATGTTAATTGTGTTTATGAAATATGAATTATGAGTTATATTAATTATGCATATTGACAAAATGTTTGATTTGTGAAATGGTTTTTGAAAAGAAAACCTTGATTATGCCACTCTTAATGTTTTATAAAATTGATTATAATTTATTATTATTGGGTGGAGCATCGTGATATATTATGTGTTGAATTATTGAGTATTGAATTATATGGGTTCGTGTATTATGAATTGATTGTTAAATTGCATATTATGTGAGAAATGTGCATAGTATGATCATTGGCGGGAGTTCGCCTAGGGAAAGGAGTAGATTGATTGAAATCCATGTGGTATTAGTAATGATTGTTGGAATCAGGAATTAGCATTGGCACCGACTGTTGGAATCGAGAGGTAACCCTTATCCTATGGTTGAATTCGGGACTGTCTCACTTGTTTTATAAGGGAACTTGAACCTAACTAGTCTCTACTAGTTCATGAGAAGGCTAGATTAGGGGCACAACACCTCATGGTTGTGGGAAAAATCGGATTACATAAGTGAGTGAGTTCACCCTAGCCCAGTAGCTCTCACAAGTGGAAGGCTAAGTTAGTCCGTGAAGGATGTAGTCACGTGATAGCCACCGATTTTGTGTTGGAGGTAACCAGAGGATATAAGGTTGGTATCTGATCATGCATATAAGTCCGGCCACATGATTGTTAGTTTTGTGGTAGGGCATATGTTGATGGTGCATGGTTGTTATTTTTGCAGACCTTGTGTTATGTTTTTGCTAAATAACATGATAAAGTATTTTTGTGGCAAACCTAATCACATAACTATTAGTTTTGTGAATCATGATCGAGTGTTATGTGTTACATGTGCTTATTTGCCTAATTACATCTATTTTCAATTGATATGCAATTGTATGGGATAAGTGAAACTTGGTTATTGAGTGGCTGTACTCACCCCTCAATTCTCAATATTTTTAGGACTTAGCTCATCAGATCCGAGTTGAGAAAATCATATAGAGGCCTAAGATTGTGGAATAATCCTTTATATGCCTCTCTTTTGTTATTTTCATGTGTATGTATTAATGTAATTGCCAACTAGAATTATTTGACATGATTTTTTGTACTACTTACATGATTTTGTACATAACTAGTGTATTTTATACCTAGGTTAGTGAGTCTTGGTTTTGAACCTGTGAATAGGGCCAAAATACTTGTGCAAGTAGAAACATATGTATTTTGAGAAATTTAGAATGAGATTGTTGATTTTGTGCAACATTTCCTCCCCTTTATGTTTTGTAAAAATCAGGGCTGAATGGTAATTTTATGAGATAAGCATTTTTTATTGTGCGTAGTGTATTGCACAAGTCTGCAAAAGCCTATTGAGTGTGATCAGATGGTTAGTGTAAGCTATTGGTACGTGTGGTTGAGTTGGAATACCCCATTTATGAGATTTTGTGAAAAAGTGGTCAAAATAGATTTTGGTGTCTAACTTTTTATAGAAATAAGTTTAAGTATAAAACTGGTGCCTTTAATTAGAGCTAGGAGAAAGCTCCGTGTAGACACTGAAACTACCTCAATTGGACGTCGGACGGAGATTTGGGACGCATTAAAAATCCACTTCTTATACTGTCAAATGACAGCACTAATACTATCAAATTTAGTGCAATACGCCACGGCGCACGGTGCCTCACGCCGCGGTGCATGGCATAGAGAAGACACGCCGCAGCACACGTGACACTTCCTGCACAAAATTTATTTTTGAGTTTTAAAACTCATTATTTAGGTTTCAATTAATTTTCAAACTTTCGCTTTATCTTCAAAAATTTGATTTAAATTTATTAAATCATGTTTGAGATTTGAATTGTTAAAATTGAGATTCTTTAAAAGAATTTTGAAAAATTTTTTTATAAATTTTACAATTTGGTAATCCTATGAGGGCTAAACCCTAGATTATCATGATTTGGAGTCAATTGCAGTTTAATCTTAGGGAGGTTACATGTAGGGTTTCTTTTCTAGCATTCAAATTCTATACTCCTCATCTAGTGAAATTTGACTCGGATTGATAAAGCCAAATTTTGTTGACGACACTTCTGCTTATCTTCTTCGATGAGTTTTCAGCCTTTATCTTCTTCTTAGTTTGGTTCTCTTCTTTCTTCAACAAAGGACAGTCCTCCTTTTTGTGCTCATATTGACCACAATTGAAACAAATTGTGTCTAAACTTTTATATATCACTGTGAAAACTTGCCTTTGAATTACAAACGTGGACGATAATTGCTTATTAAGGTCTACTTCTACGCTAACGCAAGAAAAGCGACTCTCTCCATCTTTGCCACTTGATCTACCGTTCGTACTAAGGTATTTTTATCCTGTTTTAAGACTCTACCAATCTTATTTCCTACTTCCTTCAACATTTCTTCTATGAAATAATGCATGGGGAGGATTGGGATCTTAACCTATAATGGTAGTTTTCGCACCTTGTTGCTAAAGGAATTAAAGTTTGGACTCCATAGTTGCACTGCAAGATAGTGTCCTTGGATTACCTATGGCCCTTCGTTTAACGTAGCCCACTGTTTTCTAATCTTAGCACGAAGTAATTGTTAGCCATGTTGATTAGTTCAAAATCGGAGGTTCTCGGCAAGGTTTCTTTCTTATCTCATCTAGTCTCAATCTTTTCCCCATGAGTGTTAGGATCAAACCATCCTTCCATGGCTTACACATTTCCTTCCACCGAACACCGTTCATATCGATCTTAGGAATTTGGTCAAAAAGTTTTTTTTTTTTTTTTCGTTCCTCTGGCAATGGTGGAAAAACCTTAGCCTCCTCTATTAGCCATTTCTTAAATAAGTCATCATAGTTCTCTCCAATCTCTATATTATCACAGCCAACTAGACAATCCCTATGTGAGATTTGAGTCCAAGGTCTTGGCTTTTCTCCTTCATTCCCTAATTTATCTTGTTTGTTGTCGACATTGCCCTCCGACATTTCCACATCCCTGTTAGCGGAGTTGTCCGCCTTCTTAGTCACTATTAATTTTTTTCACGCTTCTCGCAATTGCATCTTCTGAGACTATCACTGTTATTGTCGGCCGCTTGCCACGTAGGAGTCTTGCCACCAACATCTGAGTACCTGCTCTCACTCTCTCTGGCACCCAACCTCATTTTTAGCAAATTTTTCAATCGAACTCCTAGATTTGCCATGCGGACAAAATTTATGGGAGCTAGTGGCGAGCCACATGAGCTTGAGGGGGCATATAATATCTTGATATCAAATAGCTATTGGCTGCAGTATAAGATGAATGCTAGTCAAATTAATCGACGAGTCATGCATCCCAAATTTCTTATGATGACATCATAGCTTAGCATATTCATGATAATTAGCCATGTTATCCTGATTGAATGCCTCACAATTGTATGTTCAAGCGTTAATATTGGTACATTATTAAATTAAATATTAGGCAGACATATGGATATTTTCAGTTAAATTAAATGACTTGACCTGTGCTCGTGAGATTTGTTTTGTTTTTAAACGCAATACACAATGGCCAAAATTAAACTCAAGTTTGTTAGAATCAAATTCAATGATATTTCATACTGGCACGAATTCAATGAAGCTCCATATTTGAAAACCCAATATGAATTTCGGCTGAGATGATTAGGAATCATAAATAAAATATAGAGAGAGAGAGAGAGAGAGGGAAGGAGGGAGGGAGAGAGGTGGCTCACCATTTGCGGGAGATTTTACCATAAACGATGACGCGTGACCTTCTTGTGAGGAAAGGGGCGATTTCAGCACATGATGCATTCTTTTAAACCGAACTTCATTGGAGACTAACCGGAAAAGCTTGGGAGATTGGTCTCCCACTCTCCCCAACACACATCACGTGGAAAACTGAGGCTAGGGTTCATTTTTTGAGCATTGATTCCGGTAATTTCTTATTAATCAGGTACCATTACAGTGCTCGAAACTAGCTATCATTAATTCCCCCTTAACTTTTTTCTTGGCCTTTATAAACGGATCCATGACGGTGGAAGAAGAGGAAGAAGGAGGTGAAACACTGGAAGGGGATAATGAAACACTGGAAGGGGATAATGGGTTGGAGGATTCCGATATGGTGGAAGAAATTCAAAGAGTGATTGAATCGGTAGCTCAGTTTGGGGAATATCGGAAGGCTCACCGAAAAGAATGTCATAATCTTGCGAGGCGGATGAAAATCTTGTTGCCACTAGTCGAAGAAATTCGGGACATGGGTCCGCACATTCCAGAGAAAGGCATAACTTGGTTGAAGGGTTTGAAGGATGCTCTCCTTTTTGCGAAGAAATTGCTGAAAATGTGTAGCGAGGGAAGCAAGATTCACCTGGTTAGGGTCTCCGAAAAATTTCGAGGTTTTCTTGAGAAGCACGAGTGGGTTCTATGGTGTCTCCCTCATATATTCTGACGCATTGTCATTTCAGGCGTTCGAGAGCGAAGCGGTTATGTCCAATTTTCGATCTGCCAACGAAAAATTAAGCCGAGCGTTCGACGGTTTCCCTGGTGAAGAATTAGAAATATCAGATGAATTGAAGGAAAAGGTAGTTTCGTTTTTCATCTCTCACCTGAACTTTAAGGAATCTTTGCCCTCTCTTCTTAGTAGCCACTTAGCCATGCTAATTCCTCCTATTCCATACGTACACATATCCAAACCAACTATTCTCAACTATGTCAATGGAACTGTGATCCTTTTCTGGCTCTGCTTCTATTTGGCGTCATGTACAAATTAAAATGTAACAAAATTCATCTAACCTTTAAAAAATACGTCACAGAGTTCCATTTATTCTGAAATCTGAAAGGTAGTAGTCTGATAGAGACATTTCCTCACTGGTCTGGGCGAAAATAGGAATTATTATTTTAGAAAAAATAAACTTAAAATACTCATAATTAATAGAAATTATAAAAATCAAAGTTGTTTTTAGATTTATTGTTATTATTAATATTTTTAAAATTATGAATTTTCTATTCAAAGATAAGTATCAGAAAAACCGTTGTAATATCAGCGAAAGATGAAATTATGACTTTCGATTATATGAGTAGTAATTTATAAATTGTAATTTATTAATTTTTCTATTCACTTTTTTAATTTTTGATATCCTTAAATAATAATATTTATAATTTTACAATTTAAGCTTCAATGAGCAGTTTGTGTTCAGCCAACAAGCTTACGTTACTTGCAAAAGACTTGTGTTCATGTGAAGTCTCTTTATTCATAAGTTTTGAGATAAGTTGATACTGTGATTCAGCTTAAGCTAATGTGCGTCCAACTCAGGCGGGCAAAGAGGCGAAAGGATACACAAGACATAGAACTGGCAATGGATATGATAGCTGCATTTTCCAAAGATGACAGCCGAAATGCTGATAGCGCTATCATCGAGAGGCTTGGACAAAAGCTCGAGCTTCATACTGTCGAGGATCTTAAATGGAAACTGTTGCTGTAAGGAACCTTGTCCGAGAAAGAAAAGGCAAGCATGCAGAGAGTACCCAGCAAATAATTGACCTTCTTAAGAAATTCAAACAAGCTGCTGGCATGGAAGACACAGATGTTCTTGATGAACCTATCATGCCCAGAATCATTGATAAGTGCGCATCTTTGGTCATCCCTCAAGAATTTCTCTGCCCAATCACCCTAGAAATCATGACAGATCCTGTTATCATCGCGAGCGGACAGGTAACCGAACAACTTTTGTTTGAAATAACTCATGATATTTCATTGAGAAATAAGTGAAGTAAAGAGTTGAGTTTGCAGATTAGGAGATTCTGCTGGAGCCATAGTAGTTTGAACCAGTTTCTGGCTGTGAGAATTTTTCTAGTGTTTGAGAGTTGATGCTTGTTTTAGTAACTGATTTCTTTTTCTTTCGTTTTTACAATTCTTGCTGAAGACATGTGAAAGGGAAAGCATAGAGAAGTGGTTCGAGTCTAATCGTAATACTTGCCCGAAGACGAGACAAACTTTGGCTCACCTGTCATTGGCACCAAATGAAGCTCTAAAAAATTTGATTTCCGTTTGGTGCGAGGAAAACAACTTTGAGCTCCCTAAAAAAGAAAGTTGTTGGAGTGAAGAAGGTTGCTTAGTGGATCCGAAAGAAGAAATACTGGCTTTGGTAGGGGACCTATCGTCTGTTCAGTTAGAAGTGCAGAGATAGGCAGTGAAGAAGATACGCATGATGTCAAAGGAGAATTCTGGGAGCAGGGTTTTGGTGGCGGAGAACGGGGGAATAGCGCCGTTGGTGCAACTGCTGTCGTATCCAGATTCAAAAATACAGGAGAACGCGGTGACAGCGCTTTTAAATCTATCAATTGACGAGGGCAACAAGGTACTGGTATGCAGAGAAGGAGCGATTCCGGCTATTATAGAAGTATTGCGGCCAAAGAAAACTCTGCAGCAGCTCTATTCAGCCTGTCAATGTTGGATGAGAATAAAGAAATTGTGGGCCTCTCAAACGGCATTCCCCCTCTAGTAGACTTACTGTGGAACGGGACAGGGAGAGGGAAGAAGGATGCCATCACGGCTCTGTTCGGTTTATCTATGAACCACACAAACAAGGGAAGGGCCATCAGGGCAGGCGTAGCGGCCCCTTTACTCCAATTGCTCAGGGACACCAACTTGGGAATGATTGACGAGGCCCTCTCCATCCTCTTACTTCTTGCCTCCAGCCCTGAGGGACGACAAGAGCTGGGACAGCTCCCTTTCATCCAAACTCTCGTCGACTTCATCAAACAAGGAATATGCATTGTGCGTTCTCCTTGACTTGGCTTCCTATAACTCTAACCTCATTCTTGCTGCTCTCCAGTTTGGTGTCTATGAGCACTTGATTGGCATCAAAGAAAGCGGAACAGCTCGAGCCAAGGGTAAAGTACATGCGCTCTTGCACCTCATGAGTAAGAGCGAGCATATTTAATTCCCTTCTTCTAGGTATCTGGGTTAATCAAAACAAACTTCATTCTCTTGCTGCAATGTAAAACACAGTTGAAGAGTGTAGTTGAATTTCTACATTGAGAAGTAAATCATGTTATTCATATTTCTCTAGTCTCGATGGTTGGTTCACAGATTTAGTTGTGTTTTCAATGAAGACTGTACTTCCTCACAGTCACCGTCGTCAACGCTTAGCCCACGCCATCATGAAGCTTCAATCACCAAACACCCATTTTTTTAAATGTGCAAGTGCAAGTTTGTGTCTTTTGATTTTTCTTTTTTCTTTTTTAAATAGTGTGTCTTTTGAATTCACTTCCACGGTGATGAGGCTTCGAAGCTCTAACTTCTAACGCTTACATACCAAACACCCATATTTTAACAGGCATCTAATTTAATTTTTTTTTTTTAAAAGATGTGTTACTACAACCAGGTTGCTAGGAAATAACAAATTAATTGTCCTTACTATAACCACTACTATAAGGATGCAAAAATTGGGCTGATCCACATGTCGAGGCTTTTGCATTCTTCCTTATGTGTGGTGAGTCCCACTGGATTAGCTGATTGATATTTCCAACGTTTGCCAAAATCAAGTTAGGCCACAAATGAACCCAAAACAATGTCTTTTCCTAATTTACACGGAGGAAGACAAAAGCAAATAAAATACAAGCGCTTCAATTTAAAACCCGAGATAATTTTGGGAATTGAAAGTAATTTCGAGATATTGAAATAGGACGTTATCTTTGATGTTTTATATTGCTTATTTTATGAACAAATTAATTCACTAGTTAAATTATACTAAGGTGAATTTTTGTGTTTGATTTAACATACTAGCGAAGAAGGCATGAAAGCTATGTTTTCTGCTCCACAGAAGTGGATTTGTTTTCGGCCTACCCAACCAGCAAAAAAAGAAAAAAGAAAAAAAATCAAGTAAACGCACGCCTTATTACTATATATAAAATTATTCAAGTTGAAGATAAAGGTTTTATCCAAGAAAAATGGGAAAAAATGGAGAAGATATGGACAAAATAAAGTAGGAGACGAAGATAACGATGAGATTTCTTAAAATGAATCAGGGAAATGGGTTGGCCAAAAAAAAAAAGGGAAATGGAGATTACGGCAAAGCGCGAGAATTTCATATTCGAAAAATAAAGCGCAAAGCCCCTGATTCCCTCACGAAATCACCATTTTTCTCTGCTGCTTCTCACTCTTCTGTGTTCTCTACAGCTCCCTTCCGCCATCGCCATGGATCCTTTCAAGTTACAACTTTATCAACATTTGGTCTTGGATTCTCTTGTTGATCATCATTTTGTCTTTGAATATATTCATACTCTCTATTTCTCTTCTTGTTTTTTTTTTTTTAACATCGATTTTGACTTTATTTCATTATCGACCTTCTCCTCTGCTTTGTAATTCTCAAATTTTTGCTGCTCTTTTTTGTTATCAAATCCTTCTTTGAAAAAAAAAAAATCCTTCTTAATTTAACCCGTCTCTTATGTTTCGAAGTTTCTGGGTTGTCCTTCGCTTGAGAAATCAGATAGGAGACATCACTCTATGTTTTCTTTGCCACATCGATCAAGCGAGTCTTGCTGTTTCTGGCTTCAACGCTGTCAAATTCAGGATACTATGTTGACTAATTTGTTACCCTTTCTGTTTCGTGCAGTATCGACCATCAAGCGCCTTCAATTCTCCTTTCTGGACCACCAATTCCGGTGCTCCAGTTTGGAACAATAATTCATCTCTGACAGTTGGATCTAGAGGTATATCAATATATTTGCGTGATTAATATTGGCATGACGGAAAACAATGATCAATGTGGAAATGATATTTTAAACTCCTTTTGGCAGGCCCAATATTCCTGGAGGATTACCACTTGGTGGAGAAGCTTGCAAATTTTGACAGGGAGCGGATCCCAGAAGGTGTTGTCCATGCCAGGGGAGCAAGTGCAAAGGGTTTTTTTTGAAGTCACACATGATATTTCTCACCTAACATGTGCAGATTTCCTTCGAGCCCCTGGAGTTCAGACTCCTGTCATTGTCCGTTTCTCAACTGTTATCCATGAGCGTGGTAGCCCTGAAACTCTGAGGGATCCTCGAGGTTTTGCTGTGAAATTTTACACCAGAGAGATAATAATCTGAAGTTAAAATTATCTTCTGGTGACTAAATATGATTGCTACGCTAGTTTTTTCTTGCCTTGTTATATTTAAAACGAAAGTTCCCCGTTTTAACTGAAACTAATAGCTTCGTGAATGGTGCTATATATACATGATTCCTATTCTTATTTTATAATCTCAGGGTAACTTTGATCTAGTGGGAAACAACTTTCCTGTCTTCTTCATCCGTGATGGAATGAAGTTTCCCGATATGGTCCATGCTCTTAAAGCCAATACCAAGTCTCACATCCAGGAGAATTGGAGGACCCTTGACTTCTTCTCCCACCATAATTCTGCACATGTTTACCTTCTTATTTGATGAGGTGGGTGTCCCGCAAGATTACAGGCATATGGAAGGTTCTAGTGTTAACACGTACACTTTGATCAACAGGGCTGGGAAAGCACATTATGTGAAATTTCACTGGAAACCTACCTGAGGTGTCAAGTGTTTATTGGAGGATGAAGCCATTCGGATTGGAGGATCCAACCACAGCCATGCCACTCAAGATCTTTATGATTCGATTGCAGCTGGAAACTATCCTGAGTGGAAACTCTACATCCAGACAATTGATCCTGACCATGAAGACAGATTTGACTTTGACCCACTTGATGTCACTAAGACTTGGCCAGAGGACATTTTGCCCCTCCAGCCAGTTGGTCGCTTGGTCTTGAATAAGAACATTGATAACTTCTTTGCTGAGAATGAGCAACTTGCCTTTTGCCCTGCTATAGTAGTAACCAGCATATACTATTCGGACGATAAGTTGCTCCAAACTCGCATCTTCTCCTATGCCGATACTCAGCGACACAGGCTTGGACCAAACTACCTGCAGCTTCCTGCTAATGCTCCCAAGGCTGCTCATCATAACAATCACCATTAGGGTTTCATGAATTTCATGCACAGGGATGAGGAGGTAAGCTAAGAGGCATTATTTTCTTATTTTCTTATCCTAGATAAAATGGTGGTAACCTTATCAGCCATTTGATGACGTTGCATTATTATTCACATACATATTCGGACATAGCTTTTCTAGTAAAACGGGAACTTAATTTTTATTCATGTACTTCATTATTATGACTACAATGCTGTAGGTCAATTACTTCCCGTCAAGGTATGAACCTGTTCGTCATGCAGAAAGGTTCCCCATTCCTCCTGCTATTTGCACAGGAAAGCGTGAAAAGGTTAGTTTTGTTTGTCGCACAGTGTAAATGTTGGCCATGGTTGGTAATGAATCAACTAATCATATCTTCTATTTATATTGTATCTGTTTATTTTAGCATTGCTTTGTTGAAATATTACATCATTTTCGAATTTTTTGTCTTTCCTTTTTGGTTAAAAGTGCAAAGTGACTTAGATGTTTCATGCTGTGCATAATTGAGAAGGAGAACGACTTTAAGCAACCACGGGAAAGATACCGATCCTGGGCACCTGACAGGTTCCTGGCTAACATTTGATTCTGATTTTTTTCAGGCAAGATAGATTTGTTCGCAGATGGGTTGAAGCTTTACCAGACTCACGTGTCACCCATGAGATCCGCAGCATTTGGATATCATACTGGTCTAAGGTGAGACTCGTTTTATACGTGGTTATTTATTAGGTAGGAATTATACAGTTAAAACCAAAATGATTTTTCGCACTGGCTTGCTGATGTGACGGTGCTGGTGCACAGGCGGGCCGCTCTCTTGGTCAAATGATAGCATCTCCTTTGAATTTGAGGCCACTCATCTGAATCTGGTCACGAATACGCCGATGAGCAAAGAATGTGAGGAGGACCTGGCCGCGAGGTCATTTGAAGGGTTCAATCATCAATCCCTTTATTGCAATTCCATGTAATATTGATGCGTATAGAAGTAGTATGACACCTTAATAAACTGTTCTTAACTTGTCAATTCTCCATTTTATTTCCTGTGCTTTTCATTTAATTGCATTCCTCGGATTGGAATGTTTAAGGTCTGTTATAGTGTAGGTAGCCCTGTTGAAGCTCCTACATCAATTGAGTCAACGAAACCTAAAGAATTTGAATCTCACATTTTTACGAGTAGAGTTTAATAATTTAGCATTTAAGGCAAAATGGTCACTGTGGTATCTAGCTTTTGAACATACGCAAAGAACATTCTCCCCCCCCCCCCCCCGGTTGAATAAAATAATGCTACAAGACCATTTGAATATGAATGATTCACTAGAATCAAGCTGGAGCATGCTTTGGGCGTTTGGTTGCTAATGGATCAGGTGCGAAATATCACCAGGAGTTGCGAACAGAGAATAAGTAACACCGAGTCAACCTCCCCGTCTGAGTTAAATAAAAGCTAAAGCCACTACTCAAGTTCGAGATAATCCTGGTGCCATCGTTAGATATTATGTAGTATATAGTAATATAGATGACTCTGTTTGCTACCCCACAACCATGAATTCTGATTCCCTCTCATCAACAATATCAAGTACTAATGCTAGGGGGACAAAATTTGGTGTTCTTTTCTTTCTTTCTTTCTTTCTTCTTCTTGTACCTTACCGTTTTACTATTCCCTCAAGTCACTCTATACATTGCGGGCACTTACTGTTTGGCATATTACAATTAGCGAGGGCGACCTGTGCATCAGACGCTTGTAACCTCATGTCCACAAGTTATGACGAGGTTGATGACCGATCTTCACCCTGCTCAATTTGCACGCTTCTTGATGGCGGGCCAAAGATGCTCAATACCACCTATTATTCCCAAACAACAAAATCGATGGAGAATTGTTTTTAGCTTCAACCCCAAGAGTCCATAAATGAAATCAACATGTACACAAGCATGAGAAAGCATTTATAATTTTGTAATGCAGGGGATTACTGGTAATACTATCACATAGAACATATTTGAAAACACATTGAACGTAGCGAAACCATGTTTTCACAAACAGTAAACTTGTCATACCCATAATAAACGAAATGCTAGGAAACAAAAAAAATAAAATCCTGAAATAAATAAATAAATAAGCAAAAAGAAGAAACATAAACACAAACAGTTTACAGACTGTCGTACAAATCCATTTGACAATACTTGCTAAACATTGACAAAGAAAAACCAATAAAGATGGCGTTGCCTTCCCAACAATGCATGCTACTAATCTCCAAGAGTAGACCAAAAACTATGATAGCTCCACGGAAAAAGGTTTTCTAGTGAAGGTTCTCTAACAGTTTGTGCTGGTCAACGGGCTTGAGATGAAATTTGGTTAGCTGACATAAATTTTAATTGATCGAAGCTTTCAACCAACCCTGAAAATTGTACTTTCCAATTTGGTGGAGTTTTTTTTCTTTCTAAATCACTTTTTACTAGTAACGTTCTAGGTGCAGAGTCTTCGCCTCTATTTGTCATGCGGAATCTGAAGCATCCAAATATAAGTCACCCCTATGGTGATATTATTGATATTGCTTAATGTTTTTTTAGGAGGGAGTGACGACTCTCAATTCATTTTATGTATAGAGAATAAAATCAATGAGCTAACGCATAGCTGGGATCTTCCATAGTTTAGACAGTTTTGTTCCTTATCAACCCCCACCTGCATGCCAAAAAGTGGTGGATGATGAAAGGGAGTCTAACGTTTGTAATGACTTGACGTAAACTTGTTTCTTGTTCCTTTTTGAATGCAGTATATAGTTTTTTATTCATAAAGAACTGTTCACATCATTTTTAAATTCTCAAGGTTTTCTTGAACGACAAAAAGAAAAGTAGAACATTTCTCTCCCAGATATTATTTGAAACATTAGGGTTATTGGCGGGTAAATTGCTTAAGAGTTTGTTACCCACGAGTTAGAAAACTGAACATCACCCAGACCCCAACAGGTACATGTTACTTCATAAAATCTATCGCACCAGAGCGCACTGGCAGGTATTCTGCTGCTTTTTGTTTTTTAACGCAGTCCATTTTGACTTAAAAAGAAAAGAACAAGAAATCAACAAGGATGACTGACCGGCAAGAAAATTAGTCCGTGCAAGAAACCGAGTAGTACTAATGCCAGGTACATTTGAAAGTAATATACCTGCAAAACAAGAAGGTAAATTATAAACAAGAATTCTTATACATACTTCCTACTGACCAGAAACAAAGGATGATTTATCAAAAATACCACAAAAACTTCAGTCCTTGAGAAACAAAGAACAATAACTCCAACCAGCTTTGTCAGAGTGATCCCACTGCAATCACAAAGGAATGCACTGTGTCAAAACAAAGTAACAGTGCAGATTAGAGCAAGACTGGATATGGATGTGGATTCTGATGTAGCACGTCGATTTCCTTTTTCACTGGATGTGAAATTGGTGCTGAACAGCATGTGCTTGCGTTTTGAAGAGAAGTCAGGAAATACGAAAAAAGATTTCTGCTGGTATATCACCTGAAAACTGAAGCTCCCATTGTACCCAGAGCCTCCTTAGCACGTTTTTCTTTGTCTCCACTTGTTACCTGTAAAAGATCGTGAAATAATATTAGGAAACGATTAAATTTCAGAGGACCTAAGCAACATGTTGTCATTATCATTCTTTTTCCTTCCTGATGTAATCACTTCAATTAAAAGACTATAACAGAAGATACGGAAAACAATTGCTCATTAGTTTCACCTAAATCAAGAGGGAAGTAGGAAGAGATGATGTACTTAAATTTTAACGAAAGCATGCTTTTCATATAAATCAAATTTGCAAAAATGAATTGCAGAGTAGCACTGACAGCAAAGGTGTGAGCAATATGCACACAAAACTCGACAGCAATGCCCACTGACATGACAAGGTTGACAACTGAGACAGCATTCAACTGGATGTCCAAAAGTGCCATCACACCCTACAAAGCACAACTTGTAAGTAAAAGAACTGTAGACCAAGAGAATTTTCTGTTCGTGAGAATCCAAAAAGATATTGGACAGATAAACTAGAAATTTCTAAACTGATAGCGGGTTCAGTTAGCAGGGAAGAGAAGAAACACAAGACGCCTAAAAATGATGGAACATACCATAAGATCAACAACAATCATGGCCAACACCAACAAAATGATTGCTGAACACCATAAACTACATTGAAGTTCAAAACACAAAAAAACACAAGTGAATAAGATGAAGACATTATTAATTAATAAAAAACAACCCTTGATAATCCCTTTGATAAAGCTAAAAAGCCAAAGACTACATTTAAACCAATGGCTAAAAAAAATTAATATTCACCTGCAAGTGATAACCAAGCACACAACAAATACTGCTCCTGTTACATTAATACAACACATAATTAATATTTTGCAAATTCAACGGGTACACACATTGTAAGTAAATACAAAGCTGGCATATACAAATAGATTATTGTTAAATCTAGTTATCCTTGAATGTTTTTTAGGGGTATCTAAGTGGGATGGAAAACCCTACCCCAAAAGCTAGCTATTGAGGTGAGAGAACTAACTCACTTATATACCCCATTGAACATCCCATATTATTCAATGTGAGACTTGGTATCCCATATTATCACGGCTCCATCAATTGCCCCCCTATAGAAAGTCGACATTCCAATGGTTGCGCTCCATGACACTTAACTCAGCCTTCTTCTGGTCAGAACCCTCAGTGGGTGGCCAGATACGAAATTGGCAACAAGGATGGCATCAATGGGTATCCAAGTAGGATAGGGAACCCTACCTTAAAAGCTAGATTTTGAGGTAGAAAAACTAACCCACTTATATACCCCATGCTACTCAATGTGGGATTTGATATCCCATACTACCAAGTCTCCATTAGTTTCATCCAATTTTAAAGCTGTGAATGTTCATTTTTTCTTTAAAGTCATAGGCCACACTTTGCGCTAAAAGATGGATGGGGGTAGGGTGCGAGTCATAGGGAATGGGGTACATAAGTTAGAAGATCTACTTTGTGATGTACCCATTAAGATCCAATTCCGTCATCTCATCCTCCAAGCTAAAGTTGTCACATGATGTGACAGATCCTTACCCCATGTGCGTGTGGGGCAATATTCATTGTATTTTAATTGGACCACATGAATGATGGCAATAGATAATGAAAGCATATCTTAGTTTCTTAATGTCAACACTAACCAATAGCTATAGCAAGGTTGATTAGTGCGGTCTTCCATATATCAAGGTATTGCTCAAAAAACATATAAAACACTGAATATGGGAAGATCTCAATCTGCAGCAGAAAAAGTTGTCAGTCTGGGCGCAGTAAAATCAAATACACAAAAATCCACAACTATGCCAATAATTTTTGTTGCAGCAATTGCAAGGTATTAATATTCCCATATACCGTAGGATGAGCACGAAATTAATCTTCTCTCTCAAATCATTATTATATTTTGCTTTAAATTCCTTTTGTGATAGGGGGTAAAGTGAACTCCTAAGAACATTACCTTTAAAGCCTCAGAAACTTTTGAACTGAACTCACGAGCAGCTCTTAAGGAATTAACGTAGTCAACCTAGAACATTATTACTGTTAAATCTGGGGCTGGCTGATACTACGAAATCATAGAACAAATAAGATAGTATTGCTACCTGTTTGCTGAGTGGAGTGTGATATGTACGGAATGATGACGCTTGGATAATGCCACCATCATAGTCTAGCAACCAAAAACATGATCAACTTAATGAGACAATTGTAAAGCCAAACAAACTAGAAAATGCACCAATTTTTAAAACATTCATGCCTACATTTGAAGGAAAAATACTTCTATAACCCAACAAACCTTTCAAGTCAACACTGCTGCTGTAAGCCCCATGACCCCCTTTTGCACAGTCAGCAGATGGAAGAGCATTAAGAAACCATGGCAGTTTCTCCTTAAATTGTTCTGTAGAAGGGCGATCATTATGAAGTTCTGAGTGATGGAAACACTGCACGATTCACATAGTTGTGTTTAAAACATCACGAGAATCAATAAACCATTCTAATTCATGCTACAAAACTACCAGACTTTTGTCCAGTGCAGAACATGCTGATTACCGTAGTGCAATCTTTGCATACTCCAACCGCCTGACAAGAACCTTCATCAGGAGCACAGCAAGGAGGCTGGAAACCAAATTAATTCATGCAAGTCAGCTACAAAAAAATTCTATTTGCCTCTCCTACTCCAGTTGATCTTTACTCTCCATATTTCCCTTGATTCTTATGAATATATCCACCAAGAAAGAATATCCTGATATTTATTTGAATTGTTATTATCAAATACTCAGTTAATCATTCTCCAATAGTGAGACCAAAGGTCTGACTATTTCAGAACAATGTTGAAAGATTCTCAAATTCTGCAACTAAATATAAAGATAAAATAGAGATGAAATTTCTTTGGTCCGACACCAGTCATAACAAAATTGACCTGATCATCAGGTGGGCAATAACTCCCATTTGTAAACTTTCTGCAGCATCCAAATGCTTCTGGAGATATCCACACAAGAAAATCATCAAGCCATGAAGCAGCTGGCTTGGCAATATAGCTTGATTCTGGCATTAGGGACGCCCTTGCAATCTATAGGTGAATACAAAATGCATACCAATGAGTATTCAAGAGCCCAAAACAAGAAAAGAGAAGGGAAAATAAAAACAACCTAAAGAATCAATCAATACAAACAGGAATTTGGATAGCTAGGCTTGCAGGTTCAAACTACTATAAGTAAATGTTTGTCTAATTGTGAAGAGCTGAATTTATAAAGTCAAATGCTGAATCACAAGAAGTTAATCAGCACCAGATAAGCTAATGTTATACCTCATTCAAAAGAGATCCTGAATCACATTGACTAATGGAGCACAACTGATTCGTATGCCTTGATTCTGAGCTGAGGTGAAGAACAAGAGAGTGAATCATCTTTGACATTTATAGGTATAAGAAAAGGTTGCAATCTGTAAGATTTCCTTTCAGAAACATATGCACGACATATTTTAAGAAATTAAGATGCAGAACAATGAAGAAAATACAATAACCCAAATAGATCTACAAACATTGATAAGGTGAAACAACTCTTGATCCATCCTACCTCTCAACCAAGGAAGACAGGATGGAGAATGGAAGACCTATGCTAGGTGTAGGAAATCACAAGTTACTAAGGTTCCTACCGAAGTCCTTCATGTTGAATTTCCTCAATTGTTCAAAATAAGAGAGAGAGAGAGATGGAGTGGAATCCACATGGGACCCACATGATAGGTGGGACCCAACTCTATTTCAACATCTAATATGGCAAACTTTTTCTATATTCAGAGTAATGTGGGCCAACCATGTGCAAACAAACTGCAATCACAACCGGTATGATGGCAAACAATACTGTGACTAAATATGGAAGTTTGGGAAATAATATATCAAAGTTTAAGATATTCATCCATGCTTGTACATCTAACTGTGACATACAGATAAGATAGATACGTGCATTGGTAGCAAATTATCTACATGAATGGACAAGATTGTGGAGCAAACCGATTATATAAATATGCCTACTTTGCAACACAGCGGGATCAGAAAAAAGCATGATCCAGAAATACCTGTAATTGTAGTTCTTTACAACAAAATACAACGGTGGTCCAATTCTGAGATAATCTGAAACATTATTGAAATATCCCTGCAGGAAAAGGATATAGATCTTGAACGCTTAAATATGAAATAAAGGGTATAAAACATGAGGCGGTGATAATATTGAACCTGAAGATAAGAATCTCGGGGTAGAACAATCTTCTGCTCCAAACCAGGTTGAATTCTAATGCATAATGCCTACGTGGTTCGGATGATGACAAATTAGAAAATAATAAATATACACACGAAGGGGAAAAATTTAGTTGATCTCAAAGAAGACTATAGAACCAAAATAAAGAAAACTTACAATGCTAGCAAATGTGAATGCCAAGAAAATAGCAATGACTACCATTTTTACTCCCCAAATACTCAGAATGGGAGCATGAACCTCCTGAAAAGGAAAAGAGAGAGAGAGAACCATAGGAGGCCAATAAAGAGGGGGATCAGAGTGAACCCAAGTAGTTGGACGAGAGATAATTTGTATGAAAAGCATGCAAAAGTGACAACACGAACTTGAAAGGTAAACGTCTTTTGATAAGCAAACTTCCAAATTAGAATTACAATTTTATCAACAGCAAGAAACCTAGCATCCCAATTACAAATCTTTCCTCATACAACATAACAAATTACAGTTATTCTAGGTTGAATACTTCAGGCACTGCGCTTGACAAAGTTGCAATTCAGCAGTTTAGCCTTTTGGTTTTGTTCCTTTAAAGTGCAAGTAAAAGATGATAACAGTTTTATCATTATCTCTCTCTCTCTCTCTCTCTCTCTCTCACACACACACACACAGAAGACAATGGTTTAACTAATGCCAATTACCTTCATATATCGAGCCAATATGCCAGGTTTTCTCTGTTCAATACCTAAAGTTACAAATCAACATGTCAAAAAAATAGCTGGACATAAATGAAAAAGATGTGGCAATAAAAGATTGAAGTGGCACTAGGAGCCTTAATTTTTAAAATCTTAGTAATAACCTTTATCAGTATCACCATGCAATGAAGAAGCTTTAATGCATGGGAAACAATCAACTCTCCTGTCCTCTGATCGTAAAAAGTCAAGAACTATCAGAGCAACAAAGGCAGTAACTTGTAGAAGGAAGTCCAAAAGAACAGCCAATGCTGTGAAAAAGAACACAATGGAAAGTTGAAAACTAGCATCAACATAAAAGGAATGCTGACACTACCACAAAGTTGTAAAAGAACACATGGAATGACAAGTTTACCTGCAAACATAGAGAATACTCGGCATGCAGGCATGGGAATAAAAGTTCCAACAGCAAATGCTAAAACCTCAGATAGACTAGCTAATGTTATGGATGGTCCAACTTCCACAAGGGCATTGCTTATTTGTCCTTCCAAAGGCAACTCCAGTTGTTGCCTTTTCACAGCATGAACTAGTATGCACATGTTATCCACCCCAACCTAAGACAAAGATAAACATTGAAAAGCCAAAGAATCGTCAGCATAAATAATAATACATAGGTAGATTACTTATATTGGCGATAATATTATATATTGTCTTCAGTAGAATCAATGGATTACTTATACTATATAATTTTGTTATTAAACTAAGAAAAATATACCAGCAAGGGAACAAAAGAGAGGGGACAAGTTCATATTATAATGTCTGTGTTAGAAGAAATTATACAAATTGTTCTCACAATATATTTGGTGGAATATTAACCCTTTATTTTAGCTTATCAACCAAGTCTGTCTCACTTCTCAGTCGGTTTCCCTGATTAGCATAAAAATGTTTCTCATAGAAAAGCTTCTTGCCTAGAAGCTCTAGCTTCAATGTTGTTTATCAAGTTCTAGCTTCAATAGAATGGTATTATTTAGAGAAGATAACTAGAAATTTCTTTAATTAGGCATTCCTACAGGGCTACAATGATGATTCCTAGTCAGGCTTTTAAAGAAAATCTTTTATATTTTGTCCCATATACATGGACAAAGGTCACAATTAGAACTGCGAAAAGGTTTCTAAAACAGTTATATAGTAAAACATAGTTATGTGAAACATACATAACTGTTTGTAGTTAGACATGGTTATGTGGTGCATTAAACTAAAATCTGAGATTTTGCTTCGAACACCACATGAATTGACAGGCAATTACATGTGTGCGGGCATGCCCTTGAGTGCAAGCACTTATGATGAGTAATCCAAATCAAAATTAAAAAAAAAATCTATTTTTTGTTTTAATTTTGCATTTTGGAAAGCCTAAGAGAACACTCTTGGAAGTTGTTGAACGCGATTTCTTAATTAATAATATTCCTAAAAGCTTGATAAATGATAGAGCACAATGGCGTCTTGCAATCCATGTAGCCGACCCCACCTAGTGGGATAAAGGCTTATTGTTGTTGTTGTTATTTTAATTTTGCATTTTATGATAGGATGTATTTTTATGTTGGCAGAATATATAGAATTCCTAAAAAGACATCTTCATGCCATGAAACTCTGCCTCAAACAATTCTCTTCACTAGTCAAAATTATTTTATCGTTAGTAGCCACATCTGATATCTGCATAAGAAGAACACTTACAGCGAGAACAAGAAATGGAATAACTTCCATGATGATCAGTGTCGATTTTACACCAATAGCACTGAAAAATCCAACTGATCCAAGGACAGACAGCATAACAACCGTTACTCCTGAAAGACCAAGCAATACCTGCAATCCATAACTTATGCAATTATTTATGAACAATTACAAAAAGGTATTTCAACAGAGTGAACTCATTAAGATCAGATATTAGAGAAAGGGATAAAAGAGGAAGAGGCTTCGTGCTAAGGTTGGGACAGCACCTTAGATGAAATGAAGAAGGAAGAAGAACGTGGTGTATCCCCCAAAGTAAGAGATATATATGCAAACATCACAATATAGCTTATCTGCAACAAAATGAGGGACAAGGTTTACATTCATTAGCATAAAAATATTAAAATTCTCAAAAAATAATCATTAAAAACTTGAAGTTTTTCTTGTTAAAGGAATAGATAAATGGGTATCAAACATTCAAAAAAAAAAAAAAAGACTCGAGAGATTTTACCAGTATGGTTATGGCATCAGCAGTGCTTTCTCTTTTTAATTCTGCCTCAATGGAGCTTTCAGATGAAAAAGCAAGTGTCAGATTTTTAGATTGAACCATTGGCAGCAACTCATCCTATCAACAACAGCACAAAGTAATGAAATAAGGGAGGAAAATAGGCCAAGAAGAACAAAGCAATTAACCACAGAAACTCAATTAAAGAAAGCCAAATAATAAGCACAACTGAGTCACATTATGGGGAAAAAATGCAAGAATACTTCCAAAACATCTTATGCTTATTGGTATCAGAAAGTTATGCAAATCCCAAGGACCCAAGAGTTCATTTGGAACTGCGAATTAGTTATTGGGTACCATCTCAGATATCCTGAGTCTGGACTCTAGACCCATTTTTCATGGTCTAGACTTAACATGGCCACTATAGCTAGAAATCAGGACTCAGGTAGCTCAAAAGGACAAGTGAAAAAGGAGCACAGTAAGAACAAAGTGCAAACCTTCACCAACTGTATAAAGGCCTTCTCCCAAGCCACTGACTTTGTAGTTTCATTCCCCTCTTCATTCATAGCATTATTCACCGGATAAGTTATAACAAAAGCAGATGCCTATCTTGAATAAAAATAACATAGTTAATTCATGCTCTGCAAAAATCAGTTGTGTTCACATTTCATAAACTAGGAGAGTAGAGAAAGCACCTCAGAATAATTGTTCCCAGAGAAGCCTCCTAGAACAGTGCTTGGATCAAGAGGACCTTTAAATGCACTCATACATTGGTCTGCTGAGGAATAATGCTGAGGAATACAATTTTACAAAATCAGCAACTCTGGTAAAACCATTTTGGGAACAAGCTTGTTTTAATTATTAAATAAAATGCAGCTATTCATACAAAGGATATTGCTTTCAGATGTGTGTCTCCACATAACAAGAAACAGAAAATGAGGAATATAGACTTAAAAATAGCATATTCAAAATCTTTCAAGAGAGATTCAATGTAATGTGATATTAATTATAAGAAATACTACAGAAACTGCCTCTCTCCCCCAACTTCTGCAGGCTATAGGCATCAATTCCATATAGAGAGAAGAAGCTTTTGATGAAAAAAATCATATACTTGACAAATGTATCATTACTAGTGACACCAGAAATTTAATGTTTCAAGAGAAATATTTTTCTTTGTATTATATTAGCATTTGTAATGAATGCATCCATTAAAGCTATCTAATTAGTAGGCAAGTTTCCAACTTTTCATTCTTCAAACCATAAAGAGCATAACCACACAGAAAGTGAGATCATTTATCATGAAAAAAAATTGCACTGTCAGGCAGAATATTTTGGAAACTGTTCAGCATTTTAACTTGCAAAAATGCTGAAGATAAAAAATATAAATGCTTACAATCAACTTTAAGATCAAATTTGGCAATTGTTACCTCAAAACAGTAATACAGATGTTCAACTCCCCCATACTTCTCAAAATTTCCAGGGTCCATTTTGAAGTACTGTAAACAAGAAGAAAATTGAAAAGAAAAGGTATAAGTATAACATTCTGATGAGATACTGATACTATATGCATTCTGATCGGTATCACAAAAACCCAGAGTTTTATGGCAGTGAATTAATGGATGTACCTGCAGGACACTTTGAGTGGCACAATTCTGGTCCAGTGGCTTCATGCAGATGTCTTGCAGGGACACTGTCATGCCAGAATAATTGGCACGGACAGCATCAACCTGAGAGCAACATTTTCAATCCAACATGATAATCAAGATTATTATTTTAGTAGCATTATTAAGCAGAATGCATACCCTTTTTTGTATTTCAAAAAGGAACTTAATGTTGTCCTCTGAGACAATGCTTGATGATGTACCATTCTCTTGATCAGGAATCGTTGCCAGAATGAGCTGCAAAATAAATAGGCCATTGTCATTCATTAAATCAACAAGGAATGTGATAGAGACTTGGTAGTATGGGATACCAAGTCCCACATTGAGTGGTATGGGATGCTCAATGGGGTATATAAGTGGGTTGGTTCTGCTAGCTTTTGAGGTAGGGTTCCCCATCCTACTTAAGTACCTATCAGAATGATAAATTATATATATTACATGATTATGTCTTTACAAATCTTGCAGGACACGGACTAGAAATGAGGAAGGTCATACAATATCAGCCCCAAACTGAAAGAAAAATGACAAGAACTTTGAGGAGTACAACTGTATGACTAAATGCCTGTATGCCATTTTGGCAAGGCAAGTATCTTGGGTAGATTCTTTTTCTAGGAAAGCAATTTTATGCCATAAATTTTGCCTTCAGATGCATTTCATCATCTAAAATTTATGTCTCTTTTACACAAGAGGAGGGAAAAAATAGCTGAATAATATGAAATACCAGGGAAGGATTAGACAAATAATATAGAGAGTGAGAAACATTTATAATACAGAATCAGATGTTGAATGCTGCACTGCTCAATAGTCTTGCCATTGAAATGCTTAGTATGTGATACGTTTAACACAAGCATGATAATTAACTAGATAAAGCTGGTCTATCAAAGAGGAAAAAAAGAAATGGTTCCCAGTAAGAACCTGTTCAATTCTGTAAAATGGAGCAAGATGGCTGTCAAAAAACTGTTTCTCTTGTGCAGCTTTACTCCCAGGTCCTACCCACAGCTGAAAAGTGGACAAAATTATATGACAAACTCCAAATCAATGTATCATATCATATCGAAATGAGAAAAGTAATAGGTAGCAACTTTATCGTTCTAATACTTTTGTTGATAATCTATAAAAGATTAAAACCTCAATAATTTTACCATTCTTGCATAAATAATTACCATTACATTTGATTTCACAATTTCAAATGGTTATTTTGAATTTGAAAAAAAGCAAACCCAGCATCACCTCTTCATACAATATGATTTTTTACAACCAAAAATATTTCCCCAATCGAACATGTGGATTCTTGTGTTAGCAACGTTTTTTAACCATGAATTCATGATATAAAGAGCCACTTGGCATTCTACACAAAAGTAAGCATCACATTTAAAATATGTGATAAAAATACCCACACTATCACAGAAAAGAACCCATATCTAAAAATCTCCAGAAACCAAAAACAGCAATAAATTAAAAATAGAAAGGAAATCAGTTGAGGCATCAGAGTGAAACAGATTAGCAAAAAAAAAAAAAAATTGGTTGAAAATTACAAAGAACAGGACGTTTTTGAACTGAATGTATAGAATGATAACCATGAGGCGAGGACATTTCAAAAGAGTTTTGTCATGTCTGACACAAGTTGGACGCACATTCACATTATGTATGCTAGACATGCAGTGATTAAAACTCTGATTGAATATCAGAAAGCACGTTTGTAAATTGTATGTAATTAAACAGAGAACTTAAATTAGTAAGAGTCTTTACTTCATACATACTTTTTCAGGCCGTGTCTCAACCTTAAACCGAATTAGACCTAGACAAAGTAGAAGAACCATAGCCAGTGATGAACACAAAACCATAATTGGATTTCTAGCAACGTATGATCCATATTTCCTGATCACATTTGTAAAATCAAGGTCAGAAATATTCAATTAAAGCTGATAAGCACATTGATGGCATAGACAGTGACCTGAAAAAAATTGACATGTAACCTTGCACAGCTGAGAGTTGGACACTCTGTCTGATTTGTTGAGCATTTTCAAGCATCTGGAAATCATCAATGCCAATCAACAAGTTTCATTGTCAGAAAATGGTGCAAGAACAAGGAAGTCAAAATGAAAATAACGAAGATGGTTCTCAAAGATGTCCCACTGAATAAATATCAAACTTTAACTGATACAACTACCTGCATTGGAAGATTTTCCTCCTTCTCCATATCAAGAGAATGCAGCATACCACCACTAACAACATTAGAAACAGATTTTGCAGCAGGCAATGGCTTCCTTTCTCTTATCCGATAATATAATCCCCAACCCAAGAACACAGAAATCAGTATGATGTATAAAATTGCTAAAATCAAGTCAACACACTTCACCTACAGGTGTCAAAAGGAGGACCATGTTAGAGAAGAACAACCAATAGACTTCAGCTGCATTTTTTCCATAAAAAGAAGAAAACAAATGCACGCAGAAAAATTCAAAATGCTCTCACTGTTAAAGATCCAATTCTTATGGAGCACGAATCCATCTTTTGGATGGTAGGAGGAGCAATGTTGGAGCATGCTGAAGATGAGGGACAATCACCACAAGAACACCCAAGAGAAATATCACCACATGAATAGGTTGAAACATTCATAAGTCTCATGCCAGATGATGCAGTAGCATTTGGGCGGAATGTAATTGCATACGGTGAACCAGGAACACCAAGAGGTGCCTTTCTACCAATAAATGCAAACCACTCTGATAAAAGCAATTCCAATACAAGCATTAAATGTTACAGCAATTGAAATAAAGAAACCAATTGTATCCAAGCAATCCCTATCAAAATGAAAATATTGTCACTATAATCATTGTCAAAAGGATTGTCACAACACTAATGTTTTGTATCTATGTTTCAAGGCTATAAGAATGGGGAACAACTGAACACAGTTTGGTTAGAACGTCAATAGTATTTACCTTTAAAATTTTTAGCACCAGCACCAATATATTGTATAGCACGAGAATTCATGGTACCAAACTTCACTTCCTTGCAGGATTCATACAACCCTTCCCCAAAAGCATCAGTTATATAATAATCAATCCCATCCACAGTCAAATTATCACCAACCTGAAAATTGTAAGAGTGAAGTCAGATTAATAATTGCATTCTAAAATCATTTCAGTAGTGTGCCACCATCTTTAATATAACCAACAAAGGGCAGAATATCAGCGTCTTTCAGTAGTTAATATTTGATAGCATATCCAACTAAAGAAGCTTAACTGTCACAGAATGCACACTAAAATTGCTAGGTTTAAGACATGTTCTAGAACTGAAATTGTATATTAGGGTACATAACCTGCACCATGCTGTTGCCAATATCTGTTATGAAAATCAACTAAGGCAACAGGCAATTGAAGCATATTTCAGATGTATTTCATGCTGTGAGTATGCAATAGTTAAAAATAATGGATAGCTAACAATTATCAATTAAGATTTTCCAGATAAATGACTAATAACAAAATTATGGGATCAATACAAAGGTTGCAACAGTATAAAAGTTAGAAGAAATAAAGGAGATGCCACGATCTTACCTTCGAAACTGAAGTCACGTTGATAAATAGACTCTGATTTGGGGAACAAGTAAGCTCACAGAATAAATTCAAAAAGTTTCTCAAGCACGCTGGACAACCTACAAGAAAAGGAATTGCCTGCCAGAAAGTACAGTATATCCAAGCATATGTAAAAGATTTTAGCATGGATGCTGATAATGAAATAAAAGAGAAACATGAACTAGGAAAAGCATAAAATTCTGGGATCAATTCAAATACCAGATTCATGAAACCTTAAGCATTCACAATATACGTCAATAATCAAATAATATTATGAAAGTTTGATCACAGGATTTACCTGCTGGACTTGAGTCCGTAAAGTGTCAAATTGATATTCTGTACAACAAACATTCCCAGTAATTGTTGGACACAAACTTTGAATCTTGGAGGAAAGCAAATCACCAGGCTGAGAAATATAAAATTCAAAATATCAGAAGTTTGAAATTTTTTAGCTGTAAGAACTGATGCGTCTAATATGATAATGATAACAGTAATCAAAGTTTAATAGTTTTCCATCACTACGCTGTCCACATATTTCTCAGCCAGGTGAGAAAAATACAAACAAGGCACAAAGTTCTTAGTTCAGGAGGATGATCAATTCCATTAAATATACCTTCACGGCTGGGGAACCAAATGGACAGTTCAATACTTTCCGATCACTACGTTGTCCACATATGTCATACATAGCACAATATGCATTTGAATGCCTTTCCCTGTATAAAAAGATAAAAAAACTAAATCTTTGTTTTACAGATAACATGAAGATATCCAACTTCTTCCTGCATGCAGTGCAGATGTGGACATAGACTCTTCAAATCATTCGGTTGCTTGATTTATCGGAATGTGATGGGGCCTAGATGGAACTAAGAGAACTTGATTCAATTAAATAATGTCAAAACTCTTCTTTTGACAAATGCAATATTAATATAAAAGGCCAACCCAGACGGAGGAATATGTTGCAAGACACAAACTACTCGTGCTCAAAACATTTTCCGCTCAAGCATAAAAATGGGCCTTACCTGAGTCTTGTTGCATTGGAAGTCAAAAGAAGCCTAGCAGCCAAATTCTCAGTTTCGGCAAAAGCGGAAATTAAAAAACCCTGCAAGAACGTGAAAAAAATAGTCAGCCAGCTAACCAGATGCAGACGGAATGTTATGTTCCCTCGCATTCTAGAACTTAATTTCAGCAAGCCAACTGTGGGACCTAGACGTAGCCTGAGCCACCTGAAATGGATGAGGTGACTCCAGTAAATAGTTCTCTCCCTTTCCATCTTCACTCTCCAATTAAAAACTAAAGCGGCATCCATTTCAAACAGAGTGGTGCCATTGATACACATCTTAGACCTAAAAACAAGAATCCCGTATCTACGGTCTGCCACTGATCTATGAGACAACTTTTTGATCAACCAGTACTTTCTAAAATCGGGGCAAAATCACAAAATCACTTTCCAAAATTTTGTAGCTTGAAGTTGAGGGGTAAAGTGATTTCTCAAACATGCTCCAGTTTCACACTCAGGCAATCGAAATAGTCGGGATTCTTTCCGCGCCTCCAGGGAGACACCCCCCCGGGGGAAATAATACAGAGTCAGACTTTTGTCTGAAAAAATAATATGTAATGACAATAATTTGGAGTTTGCGTCCATTTTCTGGGTAAAGAAGCAAAGAAGAAAGAACTGAACATCAAGCGCTTCAAAGGAGAGCATAGAGAATGAATAGAAGAAATGGTGTTGTATACGGAAAGAATGAGGAGCAGAAAAGTGGAGGAGAGTGAGTGTCATTGCCTGGAAGAGAAAAATGGAGGTAAGGAGCCCTAGGCGAAGGTCCATTGCAGTAGAGCTCGAGAGCGATTCTCAGAGTCACTGAGAGCAGATGAACAGAAGAATCTGAGCGTTTTGTTGGTTTTTTATCCGAGTGTGCGCCAGAGCAGAGACACCAGGAAGCCGTTTGCGGTTGTACTGATCGTATAAGGATATTATATATAATATATTCCCACTAATTTGCTGCTATACTACAATAGACCCCGTTGCGCGCACACTCTCTCTTGGGTCTACCGGAGTCAAACCCCGCGTCTTGTATTTGACTATTACAAGCAGTTTTTGCCCAAAAAAAAAAAGTGTAGAAATTGGAAAGTCAGTAATGCTGCCTGTGGTCCGAACGCATATATGCAAACACAATCTATTATCGAATTCTTTCATTGGATTGGAATATATAATAAACAAGATTGATACTTTAATGATAATTTTTGTTAAGGTTGAATGAGAATTTGGAAGGTCCCATTTTTTGTTTAATTTGAATTAATTGTAGATAAATACTTAGGTAGACTGAATACACCATATCATTTATAATATGTCCAATTAAAATATTTTAAATAATTTAAATAAAACCTTGTGTAATATTTTTTAATTAATTTTATTTTTATAATAAAATACACATTTAATTTCTTAAGTTTTCTCTCAATTTTATCATTAATATTAAAATTAATTTATAGTTAATGTCATCTAAATATTATATTTTTATTAAACAGATTACAGATGATATGATGCATCTGGCCCATTTAAGTATTTCTTTTAATTGTAACTAAAAAAATTTATTGCACCTAAAGGTGCAGTTTGATTTTTTTTTTCTTTTTTTGAGATAGATGGTAGGTAAAGGGATAAAGAATAAAGGAGTTGGTTTATCAATAGAGCCGAAATATAGGTTAAATTATGTGGATTGACCTAAATAACTAGTTATAAGGGTCAGGTCTAGTAGGATTGAAAAAAATTGACCCAAATAAAAATGAGTTTTTCTTGCCTAGACTATTTAATCCATGAACCATATAGGCTAACCTTGATGGGCTAGAATTGGCTTGTTTAACTCATATTATTTTTAAAAAATTCAAAAAAGAGAAAAATTTATGAATATAGACCATGTTAAACATGACTTATTTAGCCGGATCAATTTATATATTTTGTATAAATATTATAAATTAATATTTTGGTGTATCTATAATAAATCATGAAGAAATATCAAATTAAAACTTATTATTTAGGTGTATTTTAAAAAAATCATAAAAAATGAACTAACATAAATAAATAAATGAGTTGGCGGATTAACTCATTTAACTCGCAAACCCTCAAGGATTAAGTTGAAATTTTTCTAACTCATATAAAAATTTGTTAAATTCAACCCAACTCACATTTCTATCAACTCACATGGGTCGAGTTGGCCCATATTCCTACCTCTATTTATCATAGGAGTTTTTTAAATATGAGTTTGGCAACTTAAAAATATTTAAGAGGAGAGCAGCAAGAAAGGGTATGGAAAAAAATTAGGAAAAGAACTCAGATTTACTATGAGATCAAAATTAAAGTCTAATGAGAAAAATAAATATGGTTTACTAAGGAATTTGTGCAAATCTAGTATTTTCCATAGTAATATAATAAGCTGATTGGATCCGAAATGATCAAAAGGGATTCAAGATACAACATACATGCCATTTAATAATAATATCATACATTATCATATATTAAGTTTTAGTTAACAGAATCAAGAATCATATTATATGGAAAGACTTGTATTAAATGATACTTTTCTCTCAAAAGGACTTGCATACAGGGAAAAAAATAGTGATTTAAGAATTCAATTAAAAAAAAGAAATCAAAGCTTATCCTAAGGCCTTAAATTGCAAATTTTCTATATTTTTTGTTGTTTATTTTATACATTTTTATCAATATCAATAGTTATCTTTCACTTTGTGATTAATTTATCTTAAACAATATGGACTTAAATGTAATTTGTAATTATGGTGTAAAGATAATAATATCTCTATTAATCTATCTTTTACTTACAACTGTAACTTTATAATTTACGAGTAACAATTTATAATTCACAAGTCTTTTTTTTATAAATTGTAAAGCTATAGTTGTAAGTTAAAATCAAATTAAAAGGGGCCATGTCATTTTTTCTACCCAAACTCAAATTACACTCAAGTTAATTACACTTAAGTCTTACAAAACTTGGATGTAATTTCTTAATTTGACATGATTTATTTGTCAGTAAATTACGTGTATGGGATCGAATCATAATTTTTCCAAGTTTTTGTATAAAAAAACTACAACGAATTTCATGGGTATTTGTATATGCTATCTCCTCTGCGAAATATAAACAATTTTTAATGGTAATAATAATTCACATATTAATAAAATCTTTGTTTCTATGAATGTGTGTGTGTATTATTTTTTCTCTTTTTAACTTTAGTTTATGATACAAGATATGTAAATACAAGGGGTAAAGAGAACAATTTTTGTAGGAATACCAGGTTACTTATATTTTGGATCAAGATTGATTGAGAGAAAATGATTACATTTTGAACCAAGGGAGTAGTTTAAAATGAATTGTTTTGTAGATAATATGACTATCATATTTCTTGTATTCTATATTTTTTATTATGTACGAATATCTTTTTATTGAAAATAATCTTATTTAAATCAGGGTTGTGTCTATAAGTTTTAAAGTATAAGGCAAAATTATTATAGAGGTCTAGTATCATGTAATGTAACTCATAAAATTTCATATTATTTTTTATGTTTGTGAGTTGCAAAATTATTTATCAATGTTTTATGATAAAATAATTGTAATATTTTATTTTTAGTAAAAAATATCTTTAACTCATTAAACCTATATTGTAACATAGTTTATCTTAATTTAAACAATTTTAAAATTTAAAACTTATTTAAATGATAGCGATTATTATGATTACCATCATTAATATTCATTACCAAAAAAATCTTGAAACAAATGTGCAATTTTATAGCTAAAACTTTCATTGAAATATTTTTATATTTGTATTATTCACTTTTTATTATATTTATACCCGATACATATTTTAATAGTCATTTTGTGAAGAAATAAGGTCATCTCCCCTATAGTTTATCTTCAGATTTCATACAACTACTCCCTCCATTTAAAAATATAAGATATTTTTTAAGCAGTTGTATATTAAAAAATGTAAAACATTTTTAATTTTTTGAGGTGTAATCATTGTCTTTTTTCTAAAAGTGCCCCTATTGATAATAACTTTATATTTGTTATAGGGTGTTTAATAAGGATAAATATAAAAAAATAGAGTTAATTAGAAAGTAAGTAACTACTTTATTAAATGATAAGATTTGATTAAAAATGTTTTATATTTTTAAATGGAGGGGGTATATGTTTTGTAAAGTGAAATTCAATACTATTATAACTTAAACGAGGCATGTGACATGTGAGGCTATATGCAATGGCCTGAGCAGCCTAAAGCTAAGTAGTCATGGCCTCAATTTAAATCTTTAATATACGTTCGCGATTTAAATATCTAGTTGTTGGTTGATATTATTCAATATTAATATTGAAAGGCATTGCAAGTTTGCAAACGGTTAATTTATAGAAACACTTTGATCTTGTTTAGTTACTAGAATAGAAATGAATGGATTGAAAAAATTGAAATAAAGATAAATTAAATCACCCTTATCCTATAATAAATATAATAAAACTCATTAATATATATTACAAATATGAAAATTATCATACTTTTTTAAAATTTCATGAATCATGATTCCCAACTCTATAACTATCTCTTCCCAATGAATTTGTTCATCGATCCTCTTTAATTATCTTATTTTTATTTTTTTTTCAATTCATTCCATTTATTTTTAGACCTTTATCTTTTAATTTGGTAATCAGTTAATGAAGGTGCTGATGAGGTTAAAAAAAAACAACAACAACAACTAAAGTGAGAAAAATAGTTAATGACCTTCTGGGGCAAGGAGGGTGCTGTCGTATATTGCGTCAGGGGCGGGAAGCAGAATTATTTGAGTGTGACCAACACAAAGCACGCACAGGCGCGCGGAGTTCAGATGGTAGTTTTATAAGATGGGATGGTGCGATTGTAATAGGAAGGAAAAGAGGGAGGGGAGTGGGAGTGACTGTCAACAAGGTATGGAAATCCTGGAACACGAAGGACACATGTGCATGTATGGATACCAAAACAAATCTAAAGTGTAAGAGGGGAGGGTAACTGTGAAGGGGATGGATCCCATAATGAAGTTGATGATGGTGGCGTATTCCAGCGAGGGCGATCCCTCTGGAGCGATGCATGTGTGGGCCATATCATTAAATTTGAAAAGGACGAGGCCAAAGCCATAACAACCCAACAATTATGAGCGCGTATTAAAAAAAAAATAATAATATGAAAAGAGAATTGAGGGGAAAGGGATGATGTGGATGGTGGGGAATGAGAATAGATGAGAGTGGGTAGTACAGTGTATGAGGTGAATTGAAGAGAAGCAACCTGCACGATGGGAAGTTGATGCCTACTGCAGATAACGTAATTAATATTCATGCCATGGATGGAAGGTGCGGGGCAATTAGGTAAAATGAGAGGAGAGAATGCATGCGGGAGAGTGAGCATGATTATTGATGAGGGTGGGAGAAATGATGAGCACGAAATGGCAGAGTGAGGGAGTCATGATGAGGTCAACACGCCACCCTTCCACAATCCCCTTGCGTTGCCTCACCCCCTTCTTTTCACCTTACTTTATCTTCTAATTAATTAATTAATTTCTTTAAGTGTTCTGTTTTCATAATTAATTACTATTTATTGTCTTGTAACGCACTCGCCCGCATCCATCCCCTATTCCCCTTTCAATTTTCATATCCGCTTCGTGCCCCCATCCCTGTTATCTCTTAAGTATTAACTAATTATGTGCCCCTACGTATCATCGCAAATTCCATCAATAATTATGTCTGCTTTCCCAAAATTATAAACTGTATTTAATAAATCACAATGCTGCACAACCTAGTTTAAATTTCAGAAGATGAGATTAAGTTTGGTTTAGTTTGCTGGGGAAGCAATTTTTGTTGACAGGTGTTGGTGGCAAGAGGTTCGGTTTGCCATTTCAACTTACCTAGAGTAGTTAAGTGAGCCCTGTTAAAGTTTTTGGGATAAATGTACAAATGAATGGCTTTTATACAGAGGGTATGCTCACTGCTCATCCGCACATCGGCGTCTGTCATGACTCATGAGGCATTGAGTGCACTTCTAGAAGCCACGAGTAACGAGGCCTTTGGTTCCTGGTTCGGCAAGAGTGAAAACCTTGGAATAGAGTACGATATTATATGATTAAAATAAAGAAAGAAAACGGAAGTTAATGGACATTAATGAAATGAAAGAAGAGGAGGACTGGAAAAAAAAAAAAAAACGGTGGGCTGGCGTGACGGGAAGCACTAAACTAATCATTGAAAATCAGAACGAAGCTTTTGTTTTCAGACCAGACGATCAAGTCCCCAACGAAGCGTGCGCCATGTGGAATGATCATCTCCCCGAATCCCACTTACAAAAGATGAGAATTTTTTGTTTTTTATTTTTTGAGAGAGAGAGAGAGAGAGAGAGCGCGTGAGCCACCGATGACCGTTGGTCTCAACAACAACAACGGGGACCGCGCAAGTTAAATTTGGTCCAAGAAGAGTACCAGTGAACGGGCAGATGTATGGCAGTTTAGAGGGAGAATGAAAATGAAAGCAGTACGGGTATGATCAAGTGATGGGGACGAGACCATGCATAAACATAAATGCAACGATCGAGTTGACTTTAGGAGGCATCGTAAAATTTGTCAGCTTATAGCACAACGCAGTGAGCGACGATCCCAGCAACAGCCAACCCCCAACCACTCCATCCCATTAAATGAACCCGGTGCGACAGCTCAACTCCCTCCTCGCACCTTCACACTTCTTTTCCCCTTCCAGACCACTTTTCATTTTTTCAATTCAAATGTAGTGACAAGATAACTAAATAAACCCAAAACATGCAAGACATGAGATTCTAGTTTAACCTAATAATGCCCTTTTTTTTGCCGTTACGAGTAGCGCCTTAAATTTAGGTTTTTTTTTTATTTATAAGTAATATTTGTAGCGCCTTCATATGATTTTAAGTTAAATAATCAGGACATGATACCCAAAAAAAGAAGTGAGAATGACAGTTGAAGACCCTGTAAGAAAATTAATGCAAAATAAAAACCTTTGAATTCTAAATTCTTAGTGTTTCAATTATAAAAGGTTCTTATTTGTTATTCTCCCAAAAAAAAATACAGCATAAATTATAATTTAATCGTTGAAAAATTGAAAGTAAGTCTCAAATAATCGACTTATCAATATAAAATATAAAAGTTATATCAATAGAAAATATAAAAACCAAGACATTGAATCTGTCAACAACAATAGTATTGCATCTAATATAAGTAGAACAAAAATTGAACAACAAAAATAGCTGCGTGGTTAAAAGAGTCAAATGAAACAATTCAAAACTAAGTTAGATGCAATACGATTTCTATAATATCAAATATAGAGAATATATACTTCAAGAAAAAGAAGCTGCAGATCTTGAGATGATTACATATCCAAAACTTAAACTCAAAACCATTGATTAAGTTAGCACAACTCCTTACCAATTGAGTTACGTGCTTATTGGTAGAGTTATTATTTAATTTGCTTTAACTAAATAAGGCACATGCGTAATATGAGTTTCAGTATCTACATTTTATTATAAGTTGTTATATTTATAATTTATAAATATTGAGATTTTTTTATAATTATAAATTACAGGTATTAGGGTCTACCAGATATTGCACATCCATGTGAAGTCATTTTAGAGTCAATGGAGCCTTGGAGGCGAATACTGTATATTGGCAAAGAAAAAAAAATACTGAATAAGAGCATTGTGGAGATAAGAACCAAAAAAACTCGTTAGTTTCAATTACAGACTTACAAAGAGATCTTAGTAATAAGCAAAGTCCATAAAACGATGGTATGCCTTATTCATTTAATTCTTCATGCTTTCCTACGAGCTCTATTGTTATTAAGAAAGGTGTTCTTTTGAATCTAAGAGGCTCACTAGTATAGTAAAATTGTTGTAGCAGTTAATAAATACCAAATTAATAATATTCTTTTTTTACTTACTTTTGTATCTCACTAAAAAAATCTTTATATATTTCGATTTTGCAGTTACTTATCTATTAATAAATTTATAAAAAGATTCAAGGTATGTTGAATGTTGCATGACTTTTTTTTAATGGAAACTCAAAATAAGTACTCACCCACCCACAGAGGGAGGGAGGGGAACCACTCCTAGATAAAAGGTGATTTTAGCTAGATCTAGCTAAAGTATAGGCAATGCAATTGATATCCTAATCATAAAGTTAACATTAACATTCCAATTTCTGCACAGCAAATTTTTTGTCTCCTCTATAGTAGCTTGAAATGGATGATAGAAAAGTTGAACCCTTGATAGTAAATTTATGGCAGTAGCACAGTCGCTAAAAACTTCCACATTGTTTAAACCAAATACCAGCGAAACTTTAAACCAAGCTTAATGCCAAGTAATTCTGCAATGGAGGGAGGAAAAATCCTAAGCTTACAACAAAAACCCGAATTCCAATTTCTTCGAGCATCATAGATTACACCTCCACAATATTGCAAGACCTCGAAAACATCACCATTTATATAACAGCATGTCAAATTCACAACCATGCCATCGAACTTCATATCAACGATCAATAGCAAGTTTAAGAGAAATCAACAAAGCATCATAAATTTGCAAATGCTTACCTCCCATAAATAATGCATCCAATTATTCTTACAGAGGCAGATAAAGGGAAGCTAATCAATTCAAAACATGAAAAAAAATACTATTTTTAATCAATAATGCCTCAAATGTCACCAGAAATCTCCACATGAGCAAAAACCATCCCAAAAATGATGAAATCTTTAAGTCTCAATATAATTTCCCTTTAGCTCATTTTGCTAGCATATTTCATTATAAAATGGCAATCGCCATATACTCTCAAATTCTTCACCCCTATTAATCGCCCCAAAAGCAAGAGCCAATTTGTCACTATGCCTTCCTAAAGACTCTTCTTTCCCTTCCTCTCCAATATTATGGAGCACTCAATCAGTTTCAGGCATGTAACCTTCTTTCCGAGCTCCTGCCATTATGTCCTCTAATTTCACATATATCTCTTTAGCATGCTTATGATCTTGATCCCCAACAACAAAACTGCGCACTTGCCCATCTATCTCAATATAACTCCATCCAGGATCCTTTTCTACTCCACTGCTTTGCATCAAAATTCTTACTCTATCTACATCATTCGCCCCATTGTGGCATAAACATTTGATAAAGAGACATAGCTTCCAGGGTGCTTCTGTTCAAGCTGCAAGAGCTTGTCTGAGACTAATTCTGCCATTTTGATATCTTTGTGAGCTCCACAAGCACAGAATAATGCTCCTCATATGACAAAATCAGGAGCCATTGGCATGCTCTGGACAAACTCCATTGCTTCATTGAGTCTGCCTACCTGCCTAAGAGATCTATCACTAACGCATAATGTTTCATTGTTGGCTCAATGGCATACTCATATCTCATACAACTGAAGAAGCGTAATCCTTCATCAACTTGCCCAGTGTGCGAGCATGCAGTTAGGATGGCAATCAAGACAACAGAGTCTGTCTCAGCCCTGCACAGGTGGCAATATTCAGGCAAACAAAATGAATTAAAATAACAAAAAAATTGAGATACTACTTGGAATTGGAATGAGAAGTGGAAACTTAGGTTCTGCACCTGCAGACTTCATTTGTTCAGAGCCCTGCAGAACTTGCCCATGATGGCCATGGATTGCCCAGCCCAATAGCATAATACTCCAGGTTAGAAGGTCCTTTTGTTTCATGTTAGTAGACACCTCACTTGCAGCGTCGATGTTTCCACATTTGGCATACATATCCACTAGAGCATTTCCAATTGCTTTGGTGATAAAGAAACCACAATTTAAGATATAATTGTGAATTTATATTCCAACCTCTAGCGCACCAATTCTTGCACAAGCTGAAAGAGAAGAAACAATAGTGAAATCATTCGGTCTCACACATTCTTCAAGTGTAAATTCTCCTTTACTAATCTACAATTAACTCCAAAATTTGAAATAATCACGGAAATAATCCAAATGAATTACCAAATTTGTAAAATTTATATAAATGAGATTTCAAGTTTTTAACACTTAAAATGCTATAAAATCAATTCATAAACTAAAATAAGAGCAAAACCTACGTATGTAAGCATAGACATCACAAGACAACATTAAATTGGGGTCAAAAGAGCAAAACAGTGACTCTGAAAAAAATACACCGCAGCATAAACTGCAAAAATCAGTTGTCATAGCAGATTTTCTAGCCAAACTTCTGACGTGCACTAGATCTCCATCTGACATTCGATTAAGGTGATCTAAGTATCTACAGAAAACTTTCTCTAACTCTAGCTAATGGCACTGGTTTCACATTCAAATAATTTCTTAATCAAAAGTTAGATACCAAAATGCAAACTCACTTATTTGTGCTTTCCAAACACAACTAGGGTGTCCAAAACTCAATCCAAGTGCCAAAAGCCCACATCAACCCTTAGACTATACTCAATGTACTATAATGAACTTGTGCAATACACCGCAACAATCAAACAACACACATATCACATTTTTCACCACTCAAACCCTTGATCACAAAAACATAAAGGGGAGTCAAATCATGTAATTTCACATCTAAATCACTATCATTCAAAAATATAACCACTCCTTACCTGCATAAGTATTTTGACCTTACACAAATATCTCAACTAAAAAGATACCATACGCACTAGGGCTCAAAAACACATTTCAATACCCAATATTCAATCGTGCAAGTATAACAAAATATGAACATTCTAGTTGGTAATATCATGACAATTATACATTAATCAAAAGTAATTGAGGCATTACAATAAGAAATTTGATTCCTAAACCTCATATGTCTTTCCCTTGTCCCGACTAGAGCTAGCGCTCGTAAAAGGTTAAATGAGAAGTCAGTACAACCACTTAGTAACCAAAATTAATCTAGCCTATACAAATACATGTTAATTACTCATAGTGATGCAAATGACATATTCAAATGAAATATATTCACACATTAAACCACCGAATTCATGTAGTTACAAAACTAACAATTATGTAACATTAGGTTAATTAGCATGCAAGGGTCACAACAATAACAACCATATGCTCTTCGTAAAACATGCAAGACCACAAAAATAACCATATGGTCATATAATAATAATATGCATCAAAACACATATGGGGTCATAATACTAACACCCATATGCCCTTGTCAAATTATGTCAGATCATAATAATAACCACTATGTGGCTAGGATATGACATGCATGCTTGATGCCAACCTTATATCCTCCTGACACCTCCAACATAGAACCAGTGGCTATTTAATAGGATTCATCCTTGTTATCGAACTACCCAAGCCTTTCACTTATGAGGAGCAACCCAGCCAATGCTACTACACTTACTTGTGAGTCACGGTTTTTCCCAATACTAACAATCATGAGGTGTCGTGCCACTAATCTAACCTCCTCGTAAACTAATAGAGACCAGTTAGATTCAAGTATCTTGAAGAACAAGTGGGACAATCCCTTAATACTTCTAAAACTCCCAAACTTTCAATTTCTCACACTAGCATCGTTAAGCTCCCAAAACACCATTAATGGTATCAAGTAACCTCCAACCACCAAATTAATTGCCATTTTTGGGTATTTATTACCTTTTAACAACAAAACCCAAACAGCCATAAATACTAGATTTAAATAATCTAAACAACTCTCATTAACTTTATTTAAGTTGATGGGTTTAGACTCATAGCCACTCCCAATACAAACCATAACTCAAATCCTTAAAAAAATGGAAGAGAAAGGAGGAAATAGACATAGGAGATTTACCCTTAATATTTAGAAGTTTCAAAATGTCCTCAATGATCCAAAACCTCAAGCCCTAGCAGAGCTTGGTGCGTGCTTCTTGGCTTCTCCCTTCCTTCCTTATTTTTTGAACTGGTGCAACTCGACTTATTCTAAAATCCCACCATGTGCTATGGCGTGTGTACAGAATGGGAAGCTCCTGTTTCACATTGTGCACTGCGGCACATGGTGTAGTAGGGAGGATTCTGAATTTTACTCCTTTTTCAAAGCCCGGATGACCTAACCTCTCTTTGTGCCTCATTCCCGAGCTGCAATCACATCCCAAAAGGCCCATTAGTCCCCTATCCATTTATCAACTTAAATTTGCCTTACTGCCCTCAATTAGCTTAGTTAATTGAGGTAAAATTTTCAAGATATTACATCATTTTCCCCTCCTCTAGATACAAGATTTTATCAGATTCATAGTTCAATTGGTTTTGCATCAAGTTATCTAATTCTTCTAAATGTTTGTTACAAATCCTTCCTCTATTTACAAGGCTGTGCATTTAAATAGAATTGAAATGGAGTAGCAAATAATGAACCACCTCCTGAGATTCAAAAGCTGCAATGTTGAGTGAATTTCAGTGCTTTGAAGTTTACCCCTCATACAGAGCTACTTTGTAGAAGGATTGTCAAAATTTTCAGGGAAAAGTGACCTTTCCTTGTACTTCATCTTAGATAAAAGATGGAGAACATGTTTGGCTTTTCTGCTTGTACACAGGGCTGTGACAGACAAACAGCAGTGAGATAAAGGAACTCACAGAAATGAGGTAATCTGAACTTTCTTTTGGGATTCATCTCAGATCTTTTGACCCAACAAGTAACTCTCATAACCCTGAGCCAAAGATTTATTTTCATGGTACAATATCTATTTTGTTTATTTGTTTATCTATCTGATGTAATAATATAAACTTGGGCTTCATAGATATTCTAAAGACTGGTGGAAGGAGAAAGTAATTAATTCTGAACTGAAGAGGAATGTCGGTTTATGCCCTTTGATACCCAAGGAAGCTGCTCTACCATTGACAGCACCAGGTATAGATCACAATGTTCAAATTTATATTGCTGTTGATTATCTTGTGTCTCTAGAGAGTGATATATTCATTCCAACTTATGATGGGAACATGGCTAAAGTCATAGAAGGCCATTGCAGGTGTTGTTATGTTGTCACTTATGCCCTTCTATGCTTGGTCCATTAAAGATATGTGAATTTTCAATAAACTTGGGATTTTCTATCTGCATAAGGTATATAGTAGATTTGAGTGTGTTTGAAGTGTTATTTTCACTTTGGCAAATCTCAATAGATAACGAGCGAAGGTCATGACTGCCTATCATTAACAAGCCACAGATAAAAAAGATATTAGTTTCCTTTGATGCTATACTACAATTCATCCATATTGTGGTTAGACTTTGTCCGGGTAATTACATCTTCATATGCTGTAAGTTTCATTATGTTGCTGATATTGAAATTTGTTTATTTACTAATAGGATTTGTATTCGTTGTATAACTGAGATTGGTTTTGTGAATAATATCTAAATTGCTTGCATCTTGAATGCTTCCACTACCACAACATCCCAATCTCTTATTATGAGGTTTGTGACTTTCAAGTTGCTTGGCAAAAATCTCCCTTTTAATTTTTCTTATTTCATGAATATTTGTATCAATCCTTGCTTCTGCAGTTTTTAACATCTAGGAATTATCCTTACCATAAATCATGCAAGAAAGGAAACTACCATCCAATGTGTGATGTCTTCGACCACTTTGTAAGTATTTTTCCTTTACTTTATACTCTACTAAGATCTCATGGGCTCAAATGGTTTGGCTCTACAAATTATGCAATTATTGATGCAATCAACATTTCATGTTTAGACTCATTTGATGCTAAAGAAGAGAAATTAGAACGTTTAATATATCTTTTGATAGATTCCAACAAACCCTGTTGGTCTTGTTGAATACAGAGCACGTCCTTTTGTAATGATATGTCTAATGCAGTGACTTGAACATGAGTTCTTTTTTTACCTGTAGAACATGATGTTCAATTCTCTTAAAAAATGGTGGCTTAGTATTCTTTTCTTGATAATTTAGTACTTTATTATTACGTTTTATCATTTTTGCCCTACACTTTGAATTCGTAAATGATCTGAATTGCTTAAGATTGTTTTCAGTCAAAGTTCTCTCACCTAAGTTGTTTATATTTAACTTGAAACATATCATCTCACAGTGCACCTGTCAGGTAAAATAAAGTATTTTATCAGTGGGATTGTTTTCAATTAAAGTTCTCTCGCCCTTGTGAAGACGGATTAGACTCCCAACGATATAATCTCATTGGGAATGAAGGACTACACTGTGTTTATTACTGTTATTACTTGTTAGATTATTATTAGTCACGGAATCAGCAAAAAAAAAAAAAAAGCAGCAGAGATGTCGAACATACCTTGAGAGCAAAGGCCGAAAAAGGAAAGGCGAAGACGAAGTCGACGATGAAGAGCTGAAGACGAACTTACAGTCGAAGATGGCGAGGATTAAGAGTTGAAGTGGAGACAAAGGGGCCGGCAGGCGGAGGTGCAGGCGATGTCGCAGTGAAATAAGCGAAGACCGAAAAGAGGGCGTGATGGTGAGTGACTGAAGACTGAGTGCGGATAGGGTTCCCTGAACTCATTCACTCTCTCTCATTCCTGAAACGACGACGTCGTATAGCCGATATATATATATATATATATATATAACCCTATCTGTACGTGCGAGAGTTTCTAAGTATTAAAAAAACAATAATAATATGTGCATTTAACTGACAGAAAAATTACAAATTTATGTTAAAAAGAGAAAAAATGTAAAAAAAATATTCTACTATTTTTCTCATTAATTATATATTTATTAAGTGGTATAAAAATGCTTTGATGATTTCCTCATTAAATACATATTTTTAGAAATGTATAAAAAATTATTGCTAAATTTTTTACTAATTATTTGATTTTAGAGAGATATAAAAAATATCTTGCTAGATTTATCTCTAATATTCTCATTTTAAAGAGCAATAAATATCATTTTATATTTTTTTTAATTAATTATTTTATTTTAAAGAAGAATTAAAAGTTTCTTATTATTTTTTTCGTTACCTCACTAATTATTTTATTTTATTTTATTTTAAAAAGAAATTAACAGTCCATCATTATTTTCTTTGTTAATTATTTTGTTTTGGAAAGGAATAAATATCCTTCATTATTTTTCTCGTTGATTATTTTATTTTAAAGAAGAATCAACAATCCCTTGATATTAATTATTTTGTGTGGGAGGAATAATATATCTTACTATTTTCCTTGCTAATTACCATTTTATAGAGGAATTAATAGTTCATTTTTATTTTTTCTCACTAATTGTTTTATTTTAAAGATGAATTGACAATTTGTTACAATTTTTTTTCATTAATTTTAAGTTGAGCTATGAAATTAATATTTCTTACTAATTTCTTGACTAATTTGACATTTAAGAGAAATATAAATGATCCTTCACTAAATTTTATTATTAATTTATATTTTTCTAATAATTAGTCAACATAAAGAGAAGAAGAAGAGGAAAAAGTTTAAAATCTTGTTTGATTACTACAAAAAAATAAAAAGAAATTGATTGAAAAAATTAAGGTAAAAATAAATTAAATCACCTTTCCCTTCATATAATAAAACTCCTTAATATATACTACGAATGTAAGAATTAACACATCTTTGAAAATCTCATGAATTATAATTCTCAACTCCATGAATTAAATTTCTCTTATTCGGTTAGAATATACTCACATATTTTTTTATCATCTTATTTTTATATTATTTTTAATTCATTTCATTCCTCTTTAGTAAGTAAATTGAAACTAAATGACTTAGATTCAAAAATTTACTAGAATTAAAGCATGCATGCATGGTGAATTGCAGACCAAATTTTTATTAATTGAATCCGTATTTGTTGGTGCTAATGAAATGCATTTATGATAAGTTTTTTACATATTACTTGCTTTTACATTAATTCTGTTTCAGGTCTTGAAACTTCTAGACATGACCCTCATAAATGCATGGGCCAGGTTGGTGAGTGTATCTTTCCTTCTATTGGGCTGCGCCCACCCTGCCCCAAGCAAGTTTGGCGCGAAACATTGCTGACTTTTGTTGTCCATCAATTAGTTACCGAAGCTGGATTATGCATGGCAGGACGCGAATAGCAGAATATTGTCACAAAACAAAACATATCAGCATATCACAAGCATGTACTACGAACTTGATAGCGGATAAAAATATACATATGTACGACGAACAGTCACGTGTCGCAAGCTGATAGGAGAGGTCAAGCGCAAGGGGTCATGGGGGGCGAGCGGGCGAGGGTGAGTGAACTAACGAATTGAAAATGGAGAGGGTGGTTGGACAGAACTGGACTTCAGGGGCCTGGTCTTAGACCTGGGCTTAGGTTCGTATGGGGTGCGATAGGCTGTCTCTAAAGTGGTCAAGACATCTTGCATAGAGGGTCGATTTTTAGGATCGGATTCTAAACATTTGAGAATGAGACGGCACATGTTAAATGCAGCGGTCAGGGAATAGCGGTGTCCCAGCTTTGGGTCGATTATGGTTTTGAGCTTCTTCTTACTGCTCAAGCATGGCCTCTTCCAATCCACCAAATTATGTTCGCCGCTGGGCCTGTTGGGATCAAGTGCCGCTAACCCCGTCAGAATTTCTAACAGCACCACCCCAAATCCGTACACATCGCTTTTCACGTACAGATGACCTGAGATGTTATATATGCACGTACAGAATACATTTAACTGGGAAGGAGTAATAATAATTAATCAAGGGGAGTATTAGTGAAAGTGTTACCGGTGGCTATATACTCGGGGGCTGCGTAGCCGTACGTCCCCATGACCCTGGTGGTTATGTGGGATCTGCCGTTGGCGGGGCCGAGCTTTGCGAGCCCGAAATCTGAAAGCTTGGCATTGAACCCCTAATTAACACACGAGAGCAGGAGATGTGAGGGAGAGGATGAGAATAGCGGAGAAAGAGTAGAGAAGGGGATACCCCGTCCAGCAAAATGTTGGAGGACTTGAAGTCCCGATAGATAACAGACTTCTCGGAGGCATGCAGGAAGGCCAGGCCCCGAGCTGCTCCTATGGCGATCTTGAGCCTCACGTCCCACGCGAGCGGGTCAGGTCCTCCTGCACACCAGCAAGCATGATTAAATAACCTAGTCAGGGGTGAGGGTTAGATAGATAAATGTTGGAATGAAATGAAGAGCCTACTTCCGAAGAGGTGGTTTTCCAAGCTGCCCTTCTGCATGTACTCGTACACAAGCATCAGCTGATTCTCCTCCCAGCAGTAGCCGATGAGCTTGACCAGGTTTGGATGGGAGAACTTCCCCAAGAATCTCACCTCACTCTGCCATTCTTCTAAGCCCTGAATACTGTCAGGATTACATTTCTTGACGGCGACGGGGATTCCGACGCCAATTTTGGATGGCTTCAAGGTGTTGTAGTCGATCCATCCCTTGAATACCCTCCCGAAGCCGCCCTCCCCTAGCACCGTGTCGGGTCTGAAGTTTCGGGTGGCGCTCTTCAGCTCGTCTAAACCGAACATTTTAAGATTTGGCGTCACGATCTCGGCCGTCGGACTTGGCTCTTCACTGTTGCTCCTTCCCTCCAAATCCAATGCTGCCGCAGTTGGAGCACGGCTAATTTTGCCAAGGCAGTTTCCCATGGTCGCCGAGAAGAATCTTGTTTAAATCTGCGAGTCAACACAAGGGTTTACTGATAAAATAATAGGAGTGATGGGATAAGTTCTGCGAAACGCGGGAGAAAGTTCAAAGAAAGAACCGCCAGAGATTGTATTTAGGTGCAGTTGCTTCCCTCAGAACAAAAAATAATAATAATAATTTAATAAATACCCTTTCAATACACTTATTTAAATTTAAAAATATTAAATTTTATTCTAAAAAAATAAATAAATAATGTGAGACATGTAATAATATTTTATAAATAAATAAAATAAATTAATTAATAAATAAAGTAAGATAATTTTAATATTTAAATATTAATTTAAATTAAAAATAATTTTATTTTTTTTATAAATTTAATATTAAATTAATACTCTTAAATCATAGTAAAATTTAAAAAATTTAAAAAATTTGAAAAGATTTTATTAAAATTTTTTTAAATAAAAAAGGATCCCATGTCCTGAGTCAACCAATGCGTCTCCAACACGGAATCTTCCATGATTTGCACGCCCTTTGAAGCTTCCACGCTCCCACCGATCCATGTATATATTGATTCTATTTTTTTAATGCGATCTCTACTCAAACTGATTTGACGGAAGGATATGATGTGAATTTAAATTTTTATTTAAAAATAAATAAAATTATAAATTTAATTTAGATTAAAGTATACTTTTAATCTTCTAACTTTATATGAGGTTTCAAATTAATCCCTTAATTGTAAAAAGTATTTTTGTTAATCCTTTAATCCTAATATCATTAATTTTAAATAATTATTTTTTGTGTAAATCATTATTATTTTGAAAAAATTTAAATTTAATATGTCAATATTTAAAAATATTTTATCAATATTTAAAAGTTTAATGAAAAAATTTATTAGAATGAAACTATCAGTGTTAGGGTTAAATAATTAAAAAGATACTTTATAAAATTCAGAAACTAAAATAAAATTTTATATAAAGTTAAAAGACTAAATATATATTTTAACCTTTAATTTATTATTTTTTAAATAAAATTAATAACTTAATAACCTCTCCTTACTTTTCAACTCCTACGAAATAATTAAATATATCTTGTAATAAAAATTAAAGGAGTATATATATAACGTCAATATGATTTTTAATTTTTTGGAGTGTTTGGCCAATCCTTTTAATCAATATATAAATAGAAATTTGTTCCACAAAACTTTTCCTATGAACAGTAACTTTAGATTTTTTTAGCCATTTTATTGTTTCATTCATGAAAGAATGCAGCAGAATGGTTTCATTTTGAAGAGTCAATTGGGGCATTGTAGTCTTTTGGCTATTTATCCAGTGGATCATGTCATCACACCCCTAGAAAGTTGTGTTTTGTTTATCCAGTGGATAAATTTGCTTTTACAAATTTCAAATTTTAAATTTAAATTATATTTTAAAGTATATATTTTATAAGTTACATAAATTTTTTTATTTACTTTTTTTTATCTTGTTAATATATTTTCTTTTGAATTAAAAATAACTTAAAATATATGCTACCTTCTTTTGCCCTTGTCCAAAACACCTTAACTCTCATGTCTTTCTCCCGTCATTCAATTAATTTTTCTTTCATCTCTCTCTCTCTCTCTCACCCATCAGGGTTGTTTCCTCACGCTGCTCCTTCCCTTTCCCTACCTCCACCAACAAGCCATCATCTCTATTTTCTCCTTTAGAAGACGCTTTCCAATTCCTCCTTTCTTGTAGCTCTATTTCTGCTAATCAAACGAAGAAAGGCATGACTGCACCGTAGTACGAATGGTGTCCGAAGATGCTTTCCCTTCAATTACAACCTTTTAATTTCATTCGGTAAGTATATCCTTTAATCTTTCGCCTCATCACCTTTATGTTCATTCTTTTCCCTCTTTCTTCATCAGCCTCTCCCTTTCTTTTCTCTTTCTTTGTCTGTTCTTCATCGATTCTATCTTCTTCCAATGAATAAATCAGCTAGGTCTTTAATGGCTTTATCATCATATTTCCTATCACAAGTTCAAGCAAATGGATAAATTTAAGGAAGGGAAAGAAAGAAATTTTTGGAACCCTAAGCTCATTGATCTAAACATTTACTATGTCGCTGCTTAAAATCATCGCTTCTTTGTTGTTGTTGTATGTTGTCACTTGATGGGAGGATTTCTACTCTTTCCATTTCAGATCCCATTACTTTATTGAGGTTTTGTTTCCAGGCTAGAAACGATGGCTTGTTAAAGAAATCGAAGCTGGTGCCGAATTGGTAAATTATCTCTCTTCTTTATAATATTTGGTTTTTTTTTGCTATCGTTACTATGAGAGAAAGTATTAGTGTGGTGAATACTTATTTCTTTTCAAACATAGTGTCATATGAAAGTATTAGTATGGTGAATACTTAATTCTTTTTAAACATATTGTCATATATTAAGAGCTTGATTTTCAAGGTGTCATTAAAAATGGTGAATGCTAATTTACCCATACTTATTTTTGGATGGTGTCACTGGATGATTGCTTCTATTCTAACTTTTTTGCTCACAATGACCTTTTTGTATGATAAATGCTTATTTCCTTAAATTTCTCAAATTTAAAGTGTTGTTGCTTGCGACTATTTGTGCTTTTCTTGGTTAAATTCCTTCTTGTCATGAAGAATGTTTCCTATCTAGAGATTTATATAAGTGTATATATCTCTATTTTTGTAGCTTGTTTTTTCAAGTCCAATGATGTGGCATGTCCTCTTAAGGGCTCTCGTGTAATTATTTAGTGAGCTTTATATTGATGTTTATTACTATTCTTCTTTCGTTGGATTATGTTATTCTTTGTTAAAAAAATTAGTTCAATTTGCTATCATGTCGTGCTTGTTTTATATATATATATATATATATTGTCAAACATGCTTTATCGAGAATCTCATTGATGATTGTTGATTATGGTGATCTAAATGATGAAACTTGTAAAATGTGTTAAATATTAATTATAAAATTTGATGATAAAAGAGAAGCTAAGAATAGAGAAGAAAATGAGAAAGAGTAAGTTCCTCCTCTTCTTTAGGTTGCTTGCTATCATTCCCAGACATTATTTTTGATCCCCTACTCCATTTTCCTCTTAAATAAGTCCAATTTGGCATCATAATTCAAATATATCAAATAGGTTTATAATGAATTATTGTTTATTATAGTTTCTAGCCATTGCTTACAGGTTTTATAGAAGGGTAAAGGGGCAAAAATACCCATAAAGTAGTTAGCCACGGGCATCCAGTATCCTAAAGTGACAAAAAGGATAAAAATATCCATAACGTTACATGGATGGGTGCAAAAGTAACTAGATCATTAAATGCTGACTGTACATGTCACGTGCCAATCTTTGCTGATGTAAACTAAAAAAGGGGAAAAAATACCCATGAAGTCATCGGCTAGGAACAAAAATATCTATAATGTTATCAGAATTAGTGCAAAAGTGACCAATACATCCAATTCCTTAAATGTTGACCGTTTAGCTGATATCTAAGTAAAAGTTGACTATTTTTTTCACTGATGTAGATAAAAATTATTCCTAGATAAAATTCTCTGGGACTTAATTGGTTATTGTATAAATATCATGTGAGAAAATATCATTTTGACTGAATATCCAATTAAATTAATTATTTCTTTACAGTAGTAGCAAAAATCATTTGAATATTTTGAATCTATTGTGAAAACAATTGCTTGAGGTTATGGCAATATGCTTAAGTTAGATGTACTTAGTCTTGATCTTTGATTTTAAACAACTTATCTCACTATTAAATTTCAGATTTTGCAAATAAGAAAAATGAGTGGAGAGGGAGAAAGGAAGGGAGTGAGATACGTGGTGATGGAAAGAAACCATGTGGTATTGATTTTGACGAATTGGTCACTATTGTACCTACTAAAGTAACATTATAGGTACTTATATAATGATCGATCAACATCTGTAAAAATTTATTTTGAAATATTTTTTGTCTACATCAATAAAAAAATAGTCAACTTCTGCCTAGGTGTCAATTAAATAATCAACATTTAAGGAATTGAATGTATTGGTCACTTTTATATCAATTCTGGTAACATTATGGGTATTTTTGCTCCTGACCGATGACTTCATGGGTATTTTTACCCCTTTTTTAGTCTACATCAATAAAGATTGACACATGACATGTACAATCAGTATTTAATAGTTAAAGTTAACAGTGTTAAGTCAAATTTAACGGTCTGGTTACTTTTACACTCATCCATGTAACGTTATAGGTATTTTTGCCCTTTTCATCACTTTAGGATACTAGATGTCTATGGTTGACTACTTTGTGGGTATTTTTGCCCCTTTACCCTCTATAAAATGATAAATAATCCATGATGTTTGGGTTTGTAGCATTGGGTATCTATAGTTTTTGTTTTCAAATTTTGACAGACACTGAGATACGCCATTCTAACATAGAGAGAACACAAATATTCTTGGGAGGGTTTGATGACAACAGGAATGATGAGGGACTCCATATGGGAAAATGTTGCTACTCAGTATGAACAAGTATTCGAATAGTTTCATGGATCAACCTTATGTTTCTTGATGAAGACACATCAGTTGAAAGAATGGAAGATCAGATCCATGCTAGTTGAATTTCATGTTCATCGGAAGCTGTTTCATTTTAGAGAATCCAACAAAGGTAGTTTGTTTTTATTTTTGAATGTGTTTTACTCTGCATATGAGAACTTTTTCTTGACTTGTCATTGGTGTGATGTTTTATAGTTAAATATGTTATTCATGTACTGCTCTAGAAATGAGGCTTTTGTCTTCTTTTATATTGAATCTGTTTAAATTCTTTTAACACTGGTGTTTCTTGTATTTCTTCGTGATTCTACCTTTTGTCCTCATTTATATTTAATTTTCAAAATTTTTTCCCCATATGTTTTAATGAACTATATATATGGGGTAGATTCATTTAACCTAAGCGTATACATCATGTAGATTTGGAAATTTAATATATATTTACGTGTGTTTGTATAAGTAACAGAGGAGCATTTGATCAAATCTTGATGGAATAGATCTTTTATAAACTTTTTACCTTTTGGTTGAATATTATGTTATGTTTGCAGGAAAAGATGCTCTGATGCAATTCTTAGCAAAGATGTTGTGAATAATTTGTATGGCAAGATTTATTATAATCTTTAATTTTTTTTTCAAGATATATGTGAATTTCCCCCACTTGCTTCCTTCTTTTTCCTCTCCCAAGGCATCTTTCTTTGTTTCTCTGACTTTGCAATTGTTAAGTCATGATCTGTATAAAAATAAAGAAATAAAATCCATGATCTCATTTCTAATGGGATTACACCACAGTCAGAGTTTGTAGTTTCAGTTGATCCTTCTTATTCTTCCTTTTTAAAATATGATAGATGCATGGTTTTCCATGATGGTAAGTATCATTGAATTAATTTATATCCTGTGTAAAGTTTGTTATATCATTTTTGGTTGGGATAATTTCTTAGTGGCAAAATGGTATTTAGTAGGTGACTGAGTAGGTGACTATACTAATTTGACACTAATTCTTTCTCTTTATTCAATTATGACTGAGTCGGGAACTCCAAGTGGTATGAAGAGCTTACCTCACCAAAACTCTTGAACACACTCCTAAAGTTAGTTAAGAAGTTCATGACAAGAGAATATTTTCATACTAGCCATTATAGGTGATTGTATTCTTTCACATATTTATTATACAAGAAGGTTAAAGTAATTTTTTTTATTTTCTATATGAAAAAATCATTAAAGAAGTTTTTATCTGTTTATAGGTGAAATCTATAATGATTGGAAGCAGTACTCATTCTTCAAGGTTCAAGCCCTCGATAGCTCTTTCTCTATCCACGAAAGTCTTTGGGAGTAATCCATCTTAAGGTTCAACTTTCCTCTCCCATTTTTTAACACTTATATTTATGACCATTGGGTAACAATTTTGAATATGGTACACTAATTTTTAACTAAAAAATCAATAGGTGTGTTTTGGCACTAGAACTATTGTAGTTATGTATAAGACAAGTCCTATCAAGTTGGACCATGATGGTCTTGTCAATCTCATTCAAGAAAGTCAAGATTTAGAATGAAAAGGAATTATATATGCATCACAAAAGGTTAAACTTTAACAACTGCACATTTTCCTTATTTATGAATGGTGCATGTTAGGTCCGACAAAAAGTCATTTGATAGAAGACAAAATTAACCATTATTAAAAAAAAGAAGATGACAAAATCAACTTTTTGGATATCACTGACATGTTTAATTGCGAAATTGTGAGTTTTACCTTTCATGGTTTTTTTTCATGTAAGAAAGGGGGCTTCTCTTTTTATTTATTTTATTGGTATATGTGATAATGGTAATTTTGTGAAGTTTGCACCTTAGTCCCCCTTTTAGAAAGAAACATGCTAGGAGTTGCAAATGTAAAGGCCCTACACTAATGTGACTTTAACCATGTTACATTCTGTAATTAAGTCATTGGAAGTGCCAGCCGTCAATCCATTCTCCATGCAATCTGAGTTTAAAATAAAGTTAACTTTGTTTTTTCTACATATTTACAGACTACGCTAAAAAAGGATGTAGGAAGGAGAGACAATATGCCTAATCTTTACAGTCACCCCAACATCTACAATGGGAGATAGGAAGAGTGGAGAGATTATGTTGGATATGAGAAGCCTCATGAAGTGATGTCTACCTTTAAAGCCTGTGAAAGTTATTAGGCATAAGAAAAAATAGTCCCTCTACATCATCAAGTGTCCCTCATCTGTCATGCTTTCATATTTACTTCATTTTTTTATGTTAATCTTATGAGTTGTCGCATTTAAGTAGTGTAGTCGATATTGTGGGCTTCATTACCCACAAGACATTCCTACTGTGTTGTGTTTTCAATCAACTTTTAATTTATATGCCAATTTTAATTTTTGCTTAAAGCCCCATGTGTTACCAAGTTTTTACATTGACCAAATGTTATATTCCCTTATGGAATAAATAGGCTGGTGTAATTTTTTGATTGTGGTAATATATTTGTTCTATTTCCTATTTGAAGAAATGTTTCAAAGAATAACCAAATTAATAACATGCAAGTAAATGGGGATTTCGACACTGGAGGGTTAGTGAAGTAATATAATGAAGTCATTCTATTAATTATGATTATTAGTATGTTCACACCAACATGCTAAGAAAACATTTGATTAAAATTTGATTAATTTATTATGAACCAAAAAAGATTAACCACTATTTTACTTTATAAAATGATTAAAACTGTCATCTAACACCCATTTAGTTTGACAATAAGTAGTTGGTTCGATCTATCCACATCTTCAACAAATTACTTCTCTATAAAATCATTGTGCTCACATGCCTTCACATTCGTAATATGTTGAAAAAGTAATTAATTATTAATGTTAGTAATAATGTGAGCATATTCTTCCACTTTAACGCCAACGCATTAGGATATGACTATTTCTTTGTGATCAGTGTCAGAAAAAAAAAAATACACATGTGGAGGTCAACTGAGGTTTAAAGGGAAATTCATTTTGATCTAAGCAGGCTGCGTCATTTGGTGAAGGCAAAAAGTAACTTCCATTTTTAGAATTAAAGTGTTATTAAAAGGCTGCAGACAGTAGAAAGTATTCAACGCAAGATAGGAGGATCCCTCGTCACTATTGCTCTATGTTTGCCTCTGTAGACAAAAGGAATCACAAGAATACATTTGCAACTCTGGTTGAATTTTGTCATCCCTTTTGATTCTCATTGTTCTCAATCATTGGATTGATAGGAGAGGGGCAACTTCATGCTAGAGTAATTGTATGAACAAATTACCAAGGACCAAATTAATTTACTGCATAAGATAGGGCATGTAATACTATGGCTTCAAAGTCTCCACTAAAGTACAACCAGATGTATTCCTATACAGTCATTTTTTATTATAATGATGCACAAATAATACTAAATTTCTTGAGTCAATTAACTTAGTGAAGTAGACATATCACTGTCTTAGAATTGAACAAAGCTAGAGAATTCATTATGCAACACATGTGGATGTATTTTACATGAAATCTATTCCATTTTATCATTTCCTACTTTATGGATTAGTGCTGTTGTTATGAGGAGATGAATCTCAACCAGGGAAAAAGAAGTGCCAAGGAGAATGAAAATAAAAAATATACTCATTCAATCCTCTTTATAAATTATTTCTATTAACTTTATCAGTATCAATGCAAAAAAAAATATAAAAGAAATAAAAGTGTGTAAATTCTAAATATATCCTTATATAATAAATGTAAAAAGTGATGTCATGTTACTTCTTTTTTTTTCATGAAGGACAATATTGAAAATACTTTTTAAATAGCACTTAAAAAATCGCACCATGATTTATAAATAAAATCGAATGAATTTTTTAAAATATACCTTATAAATAGGACTGGAGAGAGCAGTTAATAAGCATAGAAGATAAAAGTAAAATTTTGTGCAAAGTACCCCTTCAACATAAATATATAGCCATCTAATCCGTCTATATTGACTAAGTTGATGACAGCCAATTTTTTAAATTATTTTGAGAATATAAAGTTGTTCTAATTTTTACAAATAATTATAATCTCAAGTGGATTCTAAGTTATTAGGTGCCCGTTTAGATTTTAGTTGGGTATAATAGATATAAAAATAATTGATTAAATGATAAATTTTAATCATAATTGATTATGTTATAACGCAATCTGTTTAAATACTATTTTTATAAAATTAATTTTAATAGAATTGAAGATGTTTGGATAATTTATTGAGAATCAATTTTAGCTATATAAATTACTATAAAGGACATTACCTTTCAAAATTAAATTACTGATAAATTTGTATCTAATATTTAAAAATTAAAATATATTATTTAAATTATATATCTGATTAATTATAAAATTTTAAATTATATTAATATTAACACTTTTAATTTACGTAAATAAATAACGCAATATATCTTAATTCAAATAAATTTAATAAAAGAGGAAGATTTTATTCTTAAATACCAAAGATCAATTTTATAATAACAAATGAAGATGATAATGTATAAGTTGATCTCTAATGACATCATGAATATAAACCATATCTGATGGAGATGTGAAGCACTGCTTAAAAATTCTAGCAATATAACAAATAACGCAAAATCCCTCTCTCTCTCTCTCTCCATGAACCTTTGCAACCATCTTTGTAATAATTCTCAATTTTAAATTAAATTAAATTAATTTTTCTCTCCCAAATAATATTTTATTTAAATTAATTTTATAGTAAGTGCTAAGTAAAGGGTGGTGGTTGGCAGGAATTTATGTTAGTAAATTTTTTGAGTTTAAATTTTACTTCAAAAAAGAAGAGAAGAGAGTTTGATTTTATTTTTATTAAATTTTGTGCCTTTGTTGTAATTTTTTTCTTGAGCCTTTTTTTGTAATTTTCTCCATATATCTGTGTAATTTGAACGCAAAAGCTGCCTTTGACAGCTTTGTGAAAAAACTGATTTTTTTTTGTTGAAAAAACCAATTTTTTGAAAAAATTGTTGTTTGGATTCTTAACTGCAAAATCGATTTTTTCCTCTCAAAAAATTGATTAATGAGCTATCCAAACACACACTTGGATATTGGTGAGCGTCTGGTAATAAAATTACTTGCCATTAACACAATCTCTAAATGGATTTTAATTAAAATGTCATTGTCTATTCAACTAATCCTTGATGTACTATTTCATTACATCCATGAGTTGCCAGTTACTTTTAACATAAATAATTAACATGATTAGTTAATTATATTTGAAAATTTTATGGTAATGTAATTTATATTAATCACACTCATTTAGATGAAGTTATATGTGCTGAATGATATTGATGTCTAATTAATCAATGCTTCCCGTGGGCTATTAAAGGCTAGTTGATATAAAGCGAAGAAGAATCAATTTTCTGTTTCCTCTCATTCTCCCTTCCCCCTAAAAGTGGGATGGCCTGTTAGGGGGAGCGACTAAGTTTCTTTAGGGTAAAGACTTGAACAAGCGTTATTAATTTATTTAATTTTAACGTTGCACGTGGCCTCTTTAAATTTAAGACAGGGACTATTGGCGACAATGTTCTTTCAAAGAGTAAAGAGAGTAGTGATGGGGAAGAAAGTTATGCATGAAATCTTCAAAATGCAAGCAACAAGTTGCTTTAATCTTAATTTACCTGCATCTATTTCACACCCCGAGTGTAAATTGGATTAGTGGTGAATTTTGCTCAAGATACAACAAGGACCTTTTGATATATAGTATTCATTCTCAAAACTTGAGCCAACATAACGAAAGTTGAAGACAGCAGCAAGGCCGACTTCCGTGAGGTCAAAGCAAATCTAGATAAGGGATCGACGAAGCAAATCCCAAAATGGTAGACAAGACGACGAAAGACGACGTTGACGCACAAACATCACGCAAGTAGGAATAGAGAATGAATAGGTTCTATGAAAAGTTGTGATCAGCCTTATCACGTAGTGTAGATTTAGACGAAACAAATGGATATGCGGGAATGAAGTCCTGATTATTAATAATTGAATGAACCAAACAAGTCCCAAGCTATCCGATGCCCTAGCTGTTGATCCAATTATTTTAGTTTCACCGTATGATCATTAACCATTATTTTGGGCGTTGCCAATCCAACATGATCTATGACTAATGCAAGCCCCCAATGCGCAACACAGCGGGTTATGCCCATACTTACCACTCGAATCAAACGATACCCACACTCATACCATAAAGTGGGGAAAACATAGCCTCCTTATTCATGCTAAGCATTTTCCTTCCTCTCTCTCAGATTTTTTTTTTTTTTAACCATCATGCATCCCCAGAGGTTACTCGCAGTAATTAAAAGAGACAGAAACACAATCAACTTCCAATTTTTATCACAACTTTGACATTCGCTGGAAGTCCGGAAACTACTAGCACGCCAAAGTGACGGTTTGGGTCGGGGCTAGAATCCACTGAAATAAATATCCCCTCACTTGGTTGAAATGGCGTGAAATTAGTGATGGTTACCCATGAATGATTACGCCTGTACAGGAATAGATTCCATGTCCGTTGCGATTAAGCAATCTGCAAGAATAATTGTTCACTACTTGAAGTATTATCAATTCACTGGAAAACATGGAAGATAGCGGCTTACAGTTTTAGACTGAGATGGAAATATCTACTCAAAATCTTAGGCGGAAGTTGACCTCAATCTAGAATTTGATTCCACCAAACAACATTTGTCCAGTTGTGACGGTGGTCGAGATGACAGACATTGCTCCCCACCTTTATGGACTTCCGAGGCTTTACTTTGCGAGTGCAAGTATTCCAGTGCAACAACAATGTCACCGATAAGTGGGCGGAAATTTGGTTGCTCTTGGAGGCACATTGCAGTGATAGCAATCGCATGATGCAAACAGCGCAAGGGGAATTGTCCTTCAAGACGAGGATCAACCAGCTGTACAAACTTTCTCCGATCCTTGAGAAACTGTCGAGACTGCAAGCAACCAGAGATGGGGAAAAAAACAAAGTTTCAGAAATAACAATTTTCCATACACGGAAGGGGTATATAGATACAGCCGTACAGAAAGCTTAAAACATGTATTGCCATGCCACAGAGTCCCAGTTAAAAAGGGGAATCATGGAGATGGCAGGCATTTTAAAGGAATCAAACTCTATTTTCTACCTTCCATTGATTACAATTCAAAAACACGTTATTTATACCAGAGATGAGATTTCAGAAGAAAGAATTAATTTAAAACTTCCACGTCTACGTCTCCAATAAACTAAAATGACCAAACATTTACCCATGCAACTAAGTTTTGCTCCCCTGGTTTCTTACTGACATCTATTGCCCTTCGTCCAGTAATCAACTCCATCAAAACCACACCAAAGCTATAGATATCAGATTTAAGAGTCAATTTGCCACTCATGGCATACTCTGGGGCACAGTAACCATATGTTCCCATCACTCTAGTTGAAACGTGAGTATTATCCCCAACAGGACCAAGTTTAGCAAGCCCAAAATCTGAGAGTTTTGGGTTGAAGTTATCATCTAATAATATGTTCGCAGATTTCAAGTCCCTATAGATAACAGGTGGATTTGCTTTACAATGAAGGTACTCAAGCCCTCGGGCAGCTCCAACAGCAATCTTCATCCGATCATTCCAACTTAGCAGCTCTTGATTTAGTTTCAAATCTAAAAAGAGAAACGCCCACATTATTGTGCTGCAGTTAATGAGATTAATAAGACACTAACTCTGGGCCATATCTGATAATTTCTTCATAATGCATGCAGACTATTCAAACTGATGTTCCTGCTTTTTCATAAACTTCATAAAAGATACATCCAACCAAACCAGCAGAAAGACGGAGACGGGGTAGTAAAAAGGATACATATTTTCACGTTACCATGCATCTTAAAGTTGCTCCAAATCAAAGTGGAGAAATTCAGTTTCTAAAACTTTAGGATCAGTTCACTGATGCAAAAACCCAAATAGAAAAACTTTAATACCCTGTTGTGGAAGTGCATAAACATCAAAGTTTAGACCATTCCCTCCAATGAACAAATCAGAAACTACTTTTGAGACTCTAAACTCAAAATAGGAAATGGTTGTCATTGGCATACATGACACAAGTTAGAAAATGAAGAAAGTAGTCGTTTCTTTCTATCTTGGTCTAGATTTATTGGCACCATTCTCTTTGAAAAGGCCCTGTATATGGTTGTCATTCACATATTTAGTTCAATTTATATTAAATAATAAGAAATTTCACATGGAATATCAAATTGGCAAGAGTTATACATAAAATGAACACCTCATCCACAAAGAATGTTAGATAAGCAGAATGACATGAGGACATGCTATACATTCTCTAGTTCAAATGAAAATGAAATATGAACAGCAAAAAGGAAAGTAGCAACTAGGCATGGCAAAACATAAAAAAGAAAGCAAATTCTATGCTTAAGTTTTTAACAAAATCCTTCTTCATAGGAGATTTTAAACCGTTAGTCGTGTAAATATAAACATGATTAGAATTAGAACTTCCAAATGACATAAGTTGCAGAAACAAGAGAAATAAGAAAAAAAAAAAGTAATAAGGTTACCGAAAAGATGATCTTCCACGCTACCCATAGGCATATATTCGTAAACCAAAAGCCTTTGATCCCCATCGGTGCAGTAACCAAACAAGGTGACAAGATTAGAATGGTGTAGAAGGCTTAACATGAGAACCTCCACTATGAATTCCTGAAAACCTTGATGACCATCGTGATTTAATTGTTTGACAGCAACAAGCTGCAAATAGAAAATAAGCCATAAAAATAATCCCCAAGTCCCATCAAGACAATGGAATATCCAAAAGATCGGACTCAGACACATGAGAAAATCAGAAGAAAGTAAAGAAAACGCTTTGAAAAGGAAAGAGGCTGTGAGGAGGTGATAAAGGAAAAAGAGATGGAAGCTAACTTGCCTGGCCTGTTTCAAGACGTCCTTTGTAAACCCTTCCGAAACCTCCTTCCCCAATCAAATTCACGTGCTTGAAACCCCTGGTTGCAGCTGCAAGTTCACGGAAAGTGAAACTACGAGCTGCGCTGCTTTTGGGGCTGACGGAGACGCCGTTCTTCCCATTCTCGTCTGAGGATCCTCCCTTGCTTCCGTCGTCTGCAGAAATTACATAATTAACAAGATTCAAAAGTATCGGGATATAAATAAAAACCCTTACCGTCATTGTGGGCATGAGACTTAGACCGCCCAGCCCCTACAAAACCCGAAGGCATATTAAAATAATAACAACAACCAAACCAAAAAGGAAAAAAAAAAAAAACGGAAGGCTAGGAAATGGAAGTAGAGAGGAGAGGAGAAATGAATGAGACCGGAAGAAGAGGTAGATCGAAGAGCATTATCAATTTGGACTCTGCTGGCATCTGTGCGACGATGACTAATGCAAGAGAAGCAGCTCATCTCCCTATCATACAGCTCTTGCTTTCAAATAATAATATTTGAAAGAAGATGGAGATGAAAATGGAGACGAACCTCTTCTCAGAGCGACTCAGAGAGAGGATTTTGCCTCTCCCGTCTTGCACCCCCAGATCAACAACTGCTCACTCTACCCAAAATTAGTCCAAAAATTCCCTACAAAACAAAAAATTCTTAATTCACAAACAGCCCAATCTGGCGGCTTCCTAATTTGTGGTGCAATAAAAATCGGGAAATGGAATTCACGCGTGAAGACGAAACTGCATTTTGTGAATGGCTAACGCCAAATTTGGACGCAAAACCCATTTAGCGGCATACAGAGCGGAACAGACTGGACTATAATAATAAATGGTAATGATGATGATGGCTTCTTGCTAATGTACACTTACGGGAAATTAAATCGACCCTTGGTAATAATAATTTATATTTTTTCTAAGAAAAGGAAATTTGTTTAGATATCATAAAAAGAAAATGAAGGGAATGAATGCGAAGGCATGATTACCGGGGGTCGCTGTCCATCTCCAAGCGACCAAGCCTTTCTGTATTTAAACGTTACGGTGCCGGCATCATAAGGGATGCTTTTGTCATTTTACCGTTGCGTCGGTCCCTTTACATTCCCAATTCGGTTTCAATGCTCATTAGGTGATGAGAACCACCCTACTCATCATTTGATAAGCATCTGAACCTTTTCAAACTATGAATGGTTCAAATTTTATAAATTTATTTTTTAATTTTATTTTATATTTCACTATAAAAACTTATAAAATTTAATGAATTTATAATATGAATTTAATTTAAATAATTTAATTTAATATTAATTTTTTAAAAAAATTATAAATTAACTAGATTCAGAATACATTTGAATAGTTAGTTTATAATTTTTATTAAAAAATTAATATTAAATTAAATATGTATTGTTTATATTGATGATAAAATATATTTATTAAAATTTTATATTTTATAATTTAATAAATACATATTAAAATATAAAAATAAAACTGATAAATTTAGATCATTCAAATTTTTAATGTAAACAGTTTAAATTGCTCGATATGATGAGCATCAAAACTGAACGCCTTTACATCCCTGTCCACACTACAGTCATGCTAAATGCCCGGACTTCTCTGACTTTTCAAACCCACATCCTTTTATTTTTGCGGGTGCTCGCTGTGATGTGTTTTCCACTTCATTTACATGACCAAATCAAACAATTCACTCTCCCAATGTAAATTTAAGATGCTCGTCTCTCTTCTTCTTCTTGGTGTCCTTTCACACGCACACACATCACGGGAGCTCAGTCATAAGCACGGAAAGCACAATTCTAAACAATTTAAATTTACTAATAATTGTTTGCAATATCATTTTTAGGTTCTTGTATAACGAACGTTTAGCTGGAACTTGAAAATTGCAAATAAAGCAATGGTAAATTACTAAAGCCTTGGGGGTGGGGGGAAAATTATGGAAACTAGTTATTTACAACTGACCTTACTTTTTTTTCTTCTTCAAATCACTGTGTTTTCTATCCATAACATTATAGGTGCTAGTACTTGTTCATTTTCCCTTCTATCTTGTTACAATATTTTTTTTACATATTAACAAACCAACCCCAGTTTTATCGCCGAGAATTCAATGCACGCATAATTTTGCGTAAGAAAAAATTGTCTCCCATTCAAGCTTGCCAAACACCTCGGGGCTTTACAACAAATCTGTTGAAAGTTCACTAATGTAAATCTCAAAAGGAGATAGTTCTCTCCTCATCATTTTTTTACCCACATGGTCTAAACCGACAATCTTATCTGATAGTTAAATATCAATTACGCCATTTGATGTTGAATGCTTTGTTATCAATTATTGTCCAACTAGACATTTCTCTCCCCTATCATGCACCAGATAGAGCCTTGTAATAATAACAATGATAATGATAATAACGAATGTGAAATTACAATTTTCTAAAGAAATTCCCGATTTTAGCATCATCAGGAACCTGGGGAGAGCATAGCAAAGAGGCTGAACTCGCATTCTCATGAAGTTTTCCAATGATCTAAAGTTCACAAGATATCTACCTAAAACTATGAACCTTTCGTGATAATCTTGGAAGCCATAAATTCATTTGAATAGCGTGAAAATAATGATGCTTTAGTGTTGAATGCCGTAACTATACAAATGTCTAGAGAACTGGAAGTTACAATACAACCACCAATTACAGCCACCGTCTTAGAGCCCATCTCAATCCGAAGTCAAATGTTTAAAATGGTCCAATCCTTCATTCTGTTTCATGAAGCTTCAAAACCTCGATGGAACGAGTAAGAATAAATAGTCCACCGTCAAAGCTGGAGTGCCAAATTTGGCTGCAGATGAGAACCGGCATACACACTGGAACTAGGTGCATTTGTTGCTCCATTCTTCCTACTTAAGTCATCAGCAATTGACAAAGTATTGTGCTTCGCAGGAATTGATAATTCTTGCCAAGATGGTTTAACAGCAAGCCCTTTCTGAAAATCAGAGCCAGATTCCTGGACCAATATATTACCGGAATCTGATTGACCAAAGTCGTTTGAGATTTGGGACCTTACAGGTGAACTCCTATTTGAAGGCGTCAAGCAGGCAGAGAAGTTGCCTGTTATATCCTTGTCAATCATTTGAGGATCATTACCCGAACTGGGCAGCCCAGTTAACTCAGAAAGCTTTACCATCCTCATTTGAGGCGAAAAAATAGGACCTAGCCTATCACTTGAACCAAAAAACTCGTCAGAGTGAACAACAGGTTCCTGCTGAATCCTTGAAGGAACCACATATTCAATGCCAAAATCAACACTGTTAACTGAATTAAACTCATTTTGGGAATTCAATCCTCTGATAAATTTCATGTCTCCGCTTTGTAAGCATGACTTATTCGCAACAGAAAATGAGCCAGATGGAGGAGGAAATCTACTTGAACAATCATCTGGTACAAAAGCGTCGGAAGATCTATCCTTATCATAAATTGCGAACTGTTGTTTCTGTGACACCTCAGCTTCTCCTACCCATCCAGGACCAAATTCTTGTCCTACTGGTAAAACACTGCTGATTTTCCTTGCAGCAATCTTCCAAACAACCGGACCAAGATCAGCAGCAAAATGGGCCAGGCTTCTTGTATAGCTATGCTTCACATTTAAACCCACCTGATTTAAATTACACAGACAAGAAAAAGAAGAGCTAAATTTTATCACCGAGAAAAAAGCCTTCTAAACAAAACGGTAAATAATCCTTAAGCATTTCAACAAATAAAGAGAGTTGCTATGCATTGAAAAGTAAAAGCAATTGGAGAGTACACAAGATATTTAAAGTATCATCCTTCTATGGTAAAACAGAATCATGAACAAAAGATGTTGCCTAGCAAGTACTATCTGCATCTGTGAAAACTTTACAATGGTTTACAGGTTTCCAGCTTCTGGTCAAGGACTCGGGGCAAATGAATTTAAAGAATAAAAATAAAAAGGTTAGTACCGCAATTAGTTGCTTGAATTCTTCAATTGTAGCCAGCACTGGAGGATCATTCTCAGTAGCCACTGGATGCTTGTACGTGTCACGCTTGGTCTCATCAACCATGAATTGCTTCTTTCCATATCTTAAAACAGCTTTTAAAACAGAAGCTGCAAGAATAAATTAAAATGAAGCAAGATTTACAACAAATGAACCATATAGAAAGGGAGGTGCAAAAGGTAAAGGACTAGACCCTGACCTGGAAATTCATTATCCCATTCAGACACCCAATTAGTATATCCTGCACCGTTTAAGGTGCTGTGTGGAGTCCTGATTAATGAATCTGCAGGCTGGAACTTACCTATTCCTTTTCTCAAATTATAACTGTTTGGGCCACTGGCATTATCTCCCCCTGAAGCAAGTGTTACATCTGAGGAAGAATCAGGAGCAACACGTTCAGAGGGAGACATCCCCAATGACTTTCTTGAGTTCTTGCCTGGTGGCCTGCCTCTTCTCACAGTTTTGGGCTGGGGTTCGCTATCATCACTATCCTGCCTGAGATTGGCAAAGTCCTTCCTTGCCAACTCTTGCATTGCTCGGGCCTGAAAAAAGATTTAGTCTTCAAGTCACAACAAACACTTGGTAAATGTATAGATCGGGAAGACAGCACTACAACACAACTTCAGACTTCACCAAACCTGACGATGGTAAATAGTATCTGGTGCATTGTATTGCATTGCATTTGAGCATATCAATAATACATCTTTCTGCAAGAATGAAGCAGTGAGTTCAAATTCCTCTCAAAGGCAAAAGGTGATAATTAACTTATGGAAGACAGCATTTGTTTATAATTGAAAAAGTTACGGTGCAATAGAAAAAGCAATAGCTAGTCATGAAGAATAATAAATTTGACATTTTCTGATCCTTTATCCTTAAACAGTTTTTCTTTTGTTTTAATGCGGTTCTCATCAGAGGAAATAATGCACCTGCTATATGATGAACAAGCAAAAACGAAGAGCAGACAAATGTATGTCACAAAGAGCATATTCGATGCATTAACCAGGATTCATAAAGAGGAACGTTATAGAGACGTGAGAGAGACCAGCGATTCCTTAATCATCCGTTGAGTCAGCGCAAACGTCATAAACAGAAATAGAGGAAAAAGAAATATAATTCATCATTCAGAGAACCGGAAAGTAATCACTCGAGGAAAATAAAACAAAATTGTACCACCGACCTCAAATTGTTCTAAATTGTTATAGACTCCCCCATCCAATTTCTTCCTCACCGTTGCAAAATCCATCGGGTGTTCAATGATATCATGATAATCAGGAAGCTGTAGCAGTAAAGATACTTCATAATCAGAATAGGTAATAGAAACTAGAGCACTCAAATAGTATTCCAAAAAATGCACCTCCTCTGGATCCACAGGCTCTGAGAACACTCCGTGGCTATCTTTTCTGCAACACAGCAGGATATAGTTGAATTAATCAATTACGGCAGAGAGAAGAAGCCAAGAAAATAAAGGAAGCACCCAGTCACGCACTTTTGAAGCCTATCAAGTATAAACACCAAGAGCTTTTTGTCTGGCAAAGGTGTAGTGGGACCGGACTCCCCCTGCGAACCTGTCAATACATATTATTAAAATCAGCATTAATATTCCCCACCAAGCCTTTGCAGCAGCAATTGAGAAATGATTGATTGATAGCCTTATACCATGTTTACTGTCCGTCGCTTCCGGAACCTTTTCATTCTGCAAAATCAGTCTACTATCAAATACCAGAAAATATCTTTAAAATGGCAATGGATGCACGCAATTTTTTTTTTTAACTTATGATAAGTTTCTCGGGATGAGAATCGAAATTCAATGGGAAAAGCAACAGTAAAAAGCTCCAAGCAGCAGCTGGAGTACATGTGGGCAGAAGAAAAAGAGAGTTTAAAAAAGAAAAATACTGAGCATACTAATAGATAAGACAAACTGAAGCTTTTTGGGAACATCTGTACATTCCATGGGTCGGCGACTGCTCAATTTAGTACGACCAATAAGGAATACATAAATAATGAAGATTTAAATTGAGGAAAAGAAGAGAGAGAGAGAGCCCCACCCAAATTGTCCCAAAACAAAAGGAATTTAAATAATACCGAACTTGACCAGTCAAACACATCCCCTCCCTCCCAAATCGACGAGGAGACCGTAAAAATTTTATAAAAGCACGAAATACCGAACGAAACAAATCTCATCTTCTAATAGTCATATCAGGAAGACCCCGCGAAACAAATCGAAAGTGTCAAGATAATTAATTTAAGAGGTGAATGCAAGACGATCACCGTTTCATCTGATCCGTGATAGGTGACATTGATCTTGCGTCTCTTGCGGAGATCCTCCGGATCGTGACCGTCCTCGTTCGAGTTTGTGCCGTGCGGATCAGAACTAAACGGCGATAATGTTGAATAATGATGATGAGAATTCAAACCAACCAAGAGCTTATGCTTCTTCTCTTTGCGCTCATCGTCATCGTCATCGTCATCGGCAGCAATCCCCTCCTCAGACGCGTGCCTTAAACCAAGAACGGAGTTTCGGCGGGTGGAGCGACGGTTTAGGTCAGAATGTGAATTGATTAATTTCGGGTTCGGTAGCTGCAATTGCTGTTGTTGATGTTGCTGTTGTTTTTTAAGAGTGCGCTTTTGAAGATCTAATAGAGATGGGCGCCCCTTCTTCTTCCTCTTCGTCATCGTTTCAGATACCTCGCCCATTTTCCTCCTCTTTTCTCGCACCCCAAACGTCCCCTCCTTTTTTCCCATTTTCATCTCAATTAAAATAAAATATGGACATTCTGGTTTGCACGTGAAAATCACGTGACCATTGAGGGATGGATTTCCCTTTTTTTTTTAATATCTGAGAATGAAAATTATAAAATAGGTACTTTTAATATAAGAGGCCGCTTTTAACACACAAAAATAAAAATACATTTTTTCACCTTCGGTAGATTAAGTATAACACATTATTTGTGATTTAATTAATAAAAATATAACATTTAAATAATATTAAATATAAATTAATTCTAATGTGAGAAATATTTAAATAAATTATGTGCACCACATCATTTATAGTTTGTCTAATAAAAATATGGACATTTAAGTAACATTAAATGTAAATCAATTGAATATTAATGATAGTATAGAAAAAAAATTAAAAAATTAAATGTGTATTATGTTATAAAAATAAAATTAATTAAAAAATATCACATAATATTTTATTTAAATTATTTAAAATATTTTAATTGAACAGATTATAAATAAAGTAACATACCTTATCTATTTAAGTATTTTGCTTCTTTCATGTTCTCTTCCATTCCTTTTTATTTTTATTAGATCAAAATCTAGATAGTTTAGACCTATTTTTTTTATAAAATTATTATTAAAATATTAAATTATAAATAAAATAAAGTTCAAACTACTACTGAAATTTAATACCAACGAATAAAAATATAATAAAACTAAAATAAAAATATAATATTTTATAAAGAATCAAATCTAAATTATTCAAATTTTGATCTCAAGGTCAAAGATTAAAGAAGAGGATGGGAAAGGAAGAGGATCCCAACTTATATTTTTTTATCTATAAATAATTAAGTAATTAACTATAAATGTATTAATAATTGTTTTTCCAAAATATATTAATAATAGTTAATAGTTAATATTACTACTTTTCGTGAATTTGTAGATTTTCATCAATTTCTTTGATTTTTGGATTTAAATATGTTTTTAAAATTTAATGTTACATCTTAAATTATTTTGGAATTGGATATGACTATATATATTTTTTAAAAAAATTATTAACTTATTTAGAAAAATATGATGTGTAATATGGGCTAGCTCTCATGAGTCATAACTCACTATAGGTTTATAAAATCCCAACGCACAAGAAAATTATCAAAAAAGGTCAAATGACAATTTTACCACCAAATTATATATTTAAAAAAGTTTGAAATCCTAAATTTTTTATTTTTGCAATATTCTCCCTCAAATTTTTAAAGCAATACAATGTAATCTCAAAAGTTAAATTTCATCATTAATTAATTAGAAGATGATAGAAAAAAATTAAAAATTTGCAAGAAATGAATCAAAAATCATTGTAAAAGATTTTTAAAAATTAAATCATTTTTTTTGCAATTTTTGGATCCTTTTCTATCATGTTATAGCCAATTAATTGCTAAAACTAATTTTTATTAATAGTAAAGGTTACATTACATTATTTTTAAAAGTTAAAAAAAAAACATTACACAAACAAAAGTATAATCTCAGACGTTTTTAAATATATAATTCAGAAGTTAAATTGTTAATTAACCCTGAAAAAAAAAATTAAGACTATCCCATCATGATCTAAAATAGAGCTTCAATAACAGCCCTTCTTGTTGATATTAAATATTAATATAAATGTAAAATATGAAAAAAAAAAATCAAACTCTATACATTCCCTCCGTTTACAATATTTTTAACTAAATCTCACCTTCAATAAAGTAATTATTTACTTTCAAATTAATTCTATTTTTTTATATTTATCTCTATTAAATACCTTATAATAAATATAAAATCACCATCAATAAGAGTACTTTTAAAAAAAATAATGATTACATCTTAAAAAACTAAAAATATCTTACATTTTTTAATATTCAACTTTTTAAAAAATACCTTATATTTTTGAACAGAGAGAGTACATCCTAAATGCAATATTAAATATATTGAATATAATGTCTATTGTAAATTTTTTAATGTCATATTTAATGCATTTATATATTGTATATGTGTATATAAAAATTTAATCATTTAATCTATGTAATTTTTATTCAATTACAACTCAATTTCTAAATAATTCACAGTAACTCATTGCATTTTTTTAACTGAGTTATAATTTAATTCCTATATTTCATGAAATAATTTTAACTATAAAAACTAAGTAACAACTTGTTAAAATTCAGTAATTAAATTATAACTAAATCAAAACTGTATAAACCAAATAACTAATTTTCCTATACATAAATTTTAGGCCCTTCTTGCATCCAATCCAATATATATATTATATGAGGTCCAAAACATAGATATAATATATTGTTGTAAATTTTATCATATAATGAGCACATATCTATTAGAATAGTTTTACGCTAATTTTAACTCATTTGTTAATTCATGCATAATGCGAAAATAAAATTTCAAGAATGGGCGGCTATATGGTTTACAAATAAGTTAAAAATATATTAATTAAATAATTAGAGAAATCTAAAGATTCTTCTTGCCTTGCTACACGTCTATCTTCCAGAAGTGGAGGGCCAGTTTCCATCCAACATTGATGTGACGAATGAGAACAATCAATTAATGTAGGCCACATCAAGGTAACTCAGCAAAGGTGGGATGAAGCAGAGTAGGGGTGCGATTACCGGTTAGTGATTATGGTTTCCATCGTTGTGACTAAAAGAAAGCTTCAACTAATGTAAAACCACCAACCCCCCCCCCGGGGGCAAAAACTACTGTACTTATCACATTTTGAAATTGTTATATGAATAAATGTGTCAATTTTACTCTCATTCTAGAAAGTCAAAAATGCCAATTAAAAATTAAGGTTCTTTATCCATTTTCTAATATTATGGACAAAAAAGTCCTACACTAAAAATTGACTTCTATAAACTGCTAAATTTTAAAAACCTGTTGCGGGCAAAATAAACTGCTAATCTTAATTATGAAAGATGACTAGTTAGAAAGTAGAAACAACTATACGCTTCCATTTAATAAATAATGGGTTGCGAAGTGTTTATCAAATGTTTAAAGGGTAGTATAATTTTCGTTTTCAAATATTTCAATCCATTGTATCGTGTTAGATTTCATGCTACACTACTCTGCATGTTTTAAGTCAGATATTTTAAAATAAAACCAGCTTAAAAAGCAAGCAAGCAAGCAAAGAAGCATTATTTAGGCGTCTCGACAACCGGTGATGCAGATATCGCAATAATCAGGGCCTACTTAGCGATTGCTTCAGAGGTCAGAGAACTTATCTTCTCAACATCATAAATTCACAAGCACCGGTTGCCTCATTACCCTACGCCCAGTTCTCGCCATTGTAATTACCATTACCATTACCATTATTAGTAAACCCCTGACGCTCAGTCCTCACAGTTCTTTCTATATGGACCAGCAGAACTTGCTGCACGGAAGGCCCAACCCAATGTAACGAGGCCGTGTGACGAGCCAACAGTTCTACATCTTTGAACACAACCAGCAGTCATAATACAAGTGCCATTAACAGCCGAAGTACGATTTCATTGTCACGGAAGCAACAATTGCAAGTTGACGATCTCATTAAATAATTTACCAGCAGTAGCAGTCCATTTAAAGAGGACGTTCCTTCTCACTCCCTCAAAGAGCTGAGGGTAACATCTTAACTCAGGACAGCATGATCAAGTCCCAGACTGGGGTGTTCCAAATTCTGAAATCTACATCCAAGTCAAATTCTGAAAGCCACATAATGAAAGGCAGCCAAGTTAAGTGGTATAAAATCAATCTCAAACAAAGAATTTAAGCTAGAGAATGCAAATAAAAACTATTCAATTTTTTCTTTTTATTCTATTGTTTAAAGAAAAATGGAATCTTTACCTCACTTGTCACCTTAATTCCTATCTGATTATTCACAACAAAATTTGTCATTTTTTTGCTCCAACTTAGGCTTTCTGCATTGGCAGTAAGCCTCATGTTGGCAATTTCTGCTGCGTGTTACAAATACAAATGTCAATTTTGACACGACAAAGTGACTATGAACTTAAATGCCTGAAAAGTTACTTGAAATCTGACCTTTGATTTCCTAGTCTTCAAGACTCTTGGCTTCTCAAGCCGTGTAAGATCAACAAATTTGTCAAAAGAATTCAAGGCAGCAGTTTCGTCCGCATCAGAGCCTGTATTTGGCAGCAAACCCTGCAACCATGCCAAATGTGTTTAATATATTCCCCAAAAAGGTTCTAGGTGATGTTTATCTTTTTAGTCAACACTTAGAAGCCTACGTGAAACAATTTGAAATGAAGTACGGAGAAAAAGGTTGGTTGACCCTTCATTCTAAAAGTCAGGATTTATAGTTCTTAGGGTTGACTATGGGTAATATCACAAATTACTTTTTTGGTTCAATACCTGTTCCTAAAGCACTTCAAGGTCAACACCAATTAGGCAAGTGCTATTTTGTCCAGCTCACAGTTCAGTTCTTTGCCGTATCTTCTATTCCAATCATACCCAATGCAACTGTCTAGGAACCTTTCTACCCAATAAAAACTTCCTAGCATTAGCTATTTAGCGTTAGGGAAACAGTAAAAGGCCATACTAATCAGGCTTACCGCTTTCTTTGAATCCTCACTCCTTGATTCCTCAAGATTCTTAACTTCCAAAAAATCAAAGTAAATCAACATCTGATGAAATGCAAGAAAAAGGTAAGTAAAAGATGAGGAATGCAAAAGTTTCAAGGGCTGGATCAATTCCATCCGAGAAAAAAAAAACAAGAAACAAGTAAAAAAAAAGACTAAGATTTAGGCAAAAGTGCAACAAGGATGCCTATTCACGCACAAACGCACCTTGTCAAGCAAATGACTATTTGATGCATCAGTTGCCATAATCTGTACACCAAGCAAATTGCTGGGTTTGCTGCAGAAGGGGCAAAATATAGACCTGAAAACACACCCATCTTCTGGGCACCAAATACCCTGCTCTGGAACACTTCCGTTGACTCTATTGCAGATGCGTTGATTAACATATGAAATGCAAGTTACAATAACTGGTACACTTCTTAAATCCTCATCATCGCAAGCCTTCAGTCTCCGTTTCAAAAGAGATCTTAAGTGCACTTTTGATGACGAAGTCAAAGAACATGTAATATACAGATTATTCTCAGGCCGACCCAAAGGGTTTTTGCAAAGTGAGCAAAATATCTGTAACCTTTTCTCCATGAGAGGATCAGTTAATAAAAATGAACTAGTCAGATTGCTTGTCTGTGATTGAAGTGAATTTGGCTTCAATTTTTTGTGAGAATCAGATTCATTTCCATTAATTGCCTCATCGGCATTCACCAAGCCCACAGATTGCCTGGAAGGGATGCTAGCACAGGGGGTGATGTAATTTTCTTCCTCAACAAGGCTTATAAATGGTACGTCCATGGACTTTCTCCTTTTCTGGGTGTGAGAATTAACACTCCTATTCAAAGATGACTCTATTTCCACAGTATGACAGCTGCTTGCAGATACTTTTCTTTCAGGAGTAACTGATATTAAACACTGAGCTGTTGAAGAATCTTTAATTCCACTTCCAATACTCAAAGAAATTGGAAGGATTGACTGATCATCTAATTCGCAAGATGCCTCAACTAAGGTGGAGCTACAGTGGTCGTCCTTACAACCATAAACAGGGCTAGCAGGAACAATGCTGCCATCCACGCAAGGGGTTACCTTCACAACGGAGACTTCTTCATGTATAACTACCGCAGATAATACCCCAGTGAAGCTGCAAGGGGGAGAAAATAATCTCTCAACAAGTACCGATATTGTCACTGTTTCGCCATCTAGAATGGTTACTATTTCATGGAGATTCAAATTGATTTCTGATGGCATAAGAAATTCCAATTTCCACATTCTAAGAATCCACGCAGCAAATATTAAATTTGAGGTATAAATGCAGCCTGAAAACAAATAAACTAAGTGTTTTTTATATTGCTAAACATCAAAACCCTTAAATCCCCCCTTCTCCCCAAAGAAAAGGGGGGGGGGGGAGTACCCCAGAAGTTCACACAAGTGCCTTGTTAAATATTTGGTCACTAGAAAGAAGCCACTAATGCTTAAAATATTGATCCTTGTCCATGATATCAATGGCAAGCACGTTCACCAGACAAAAATGAAGAATAGGAGCAAGAGCACAGAACAGCAGTTTCTACAAACATAATAGAACAAGCAGAGTATTTATGAAGCTTAAATTTCCTCATCCGGAAGAGCACTAATCTATGGCAATTTTAGGATGAGACCAGAAATATCAGGCTACAGGATAATAAGCAGGGACGTATCTACTTGTATTATAGAGGGGGCAATTGCCCCCACAAGCCCAGAAAAAAATACACATAATGACCTTAAATATTTTATTTGCCTCCATTCAAAAATTTCAGCTGCCCCCTACCCCCTCAAAAAAGAAAAGAAAATTCACGTGGTCCCATAAAAAAATATCACTAATTTCCTAAAAAGTTTATTTGACCAATGTCCTATTTATGTGTTTTAAACTTAAATAGAAAGAGTTTTAAAAAAAAGGGAGCAATAGTTTAAAAAATAATTTCTCTGATTGTATGTTTAAATTGAAAATTTTGTCAATAAAAAAGTATACTATACAAAAGAATTAAATCTTGTTGGCATATAAAAGTTTAGATACATGAGACAGGTCTTAAAAGATCATGAACTAAATCTTTATCCATTGAACCCACTTTTATTAATCAAAACTCAAGATACTTAAGTTTTATTAATTGAAATGAAAAACAGAATTCTGATAGATATAATTTTGTGTTATTATAATTTTATATTTTATGTATAGTTCTTTAATAGAATTTGATTTTAATAAATTTTATATTTAATATTATTTAATAAAAATTATAATTAATTTAGTGATAATATTAATATTAACATTTATCTTATGTACAAATTTTGCCCCCATAAACTAATTTTTCTGGATCCATCACTGATAATAAGCTATAGGTTTAGTCGATCACAGAATCAGTGGTACTCAATACTTCAACAGAATGGTGCTGAAAATAAGATTAATTCCCTTGCACACTTGTGGTGTGGCCAAAGCCGAAAGTACATAAAAGTAAATAAATGCTCAAATCTGACATAACTATCATTTGGAAGCCTAAATTTCATTAGTAAGTAGTAAACAATTACCATGGTCCTGCCTGTTTGCAGTCGTTTGGGTCAAAACAGTCTTTACAGTTGTATGAATCATTAATCTTTTGCACAGATGGTTGACTCTCATCCTTGATCATTTCTATATTTTTCTCACCACCAATGTCAGACTTTAACAGTTTCTTATTTATCTTTCTTATAAATCCCATATTCTGATCCTTGGCTTGGTCACATTCCTGGTTTAAACCCAAATTTTGAGTGAAAGTTGTGCCAAACCGCTCCTGCAGAAAGCAAGTTAATCACATCAACAAAACTAAATTTTTTTTGTGAGAGGGAGGGTGGGTATACGGGACAGAAGTACACCAAATACCTTGGCATTCTCAAAGAATGATTTCATTCCCTTCAAAGACAAGTCAAAACTGTCATATATCCTTAAGGTTTTTCTTAACCACTTTGAAATGAATGCTCTATTTCTTTCTTCCTGAAAACGTTCATCTAATTCCACAAGAACAGTTGCATTAATGAATGAATGAAAGCAAGCTGAGTGTTGTTATGCTATGGTTACAGAGAATAATCTCTACTACACAATTCAAGAATAGCCAGCAACAAAGACAGAAAAAAGGAAAGAAAGAAGAGAGCAGAAGATAAAAAGAAAATGAATGTCCGAACCAAAAATGCAGGCTGCCAGCACTAATTGCCTGTTTCAATGAAACGAGTCAATTAACTGAGCCATTTAAAATTCTCACTATATTACAATGGTTCTAATTAACTTATTATCATGTATCAAGAAAAATACTTTGCAAAGTGAGCGATTAGCTTGTGATCGTGTACCGAAAAGAGTACTTTGGAAAGTATCGGAAAAGAAGAGTATTTGAGTTGCCTATATTCAATATATTCAGGACATCTATGAGGGAGCAATAATTAGTATAAGAACGCCTAGTAGAAAAATAAAAGATTTTCCAACAAAGATTGAACTGCATCAAAGATCATCTTTGAATTTTTATTTGTTTGAACTAATTTTAGATGTTTTGACTGAACATATTTGAAGATTTATTGAGCAAAAACTGAATTATTCTGTACAGTGGGTGTGTCACATACATATATACATACAGACCATGATGTCAGCCGAGATATAAGGCTGAGAATAAGGGATAGAGAGAATAAAATAAAAGATTTCCTAATATATCTAATCCTATAATAACTATCAAATATTTACATTAAATATAGTATATTTCTACACTCCCCCTCAAGTTCGACCATTAATGTTAATCATGTCCAACTTGCTGAAGAAATAATCAAACTTATCTCTACTCGAGCCTTTGGTGAGAACATCAGCTGTTTGCTCCCTTGTTGGTATGTGTCTCATCTGGATGATGCCAGTATCAATCTTCTCTCTAATAAAGTGTCTATCTATCTCAACATGCTTGATCCTATCATGTTGGACTGGGTTGTGTGAGATGCTGATTGCTGCCATACTGTCTGAATACAGAGTGATAGGCAGGTTAACATCCTTTTTTAATTCCTTAATCACCCTTTTAATCCATATACCTTCACAAATTCCCAAAGCAATAGCTCGAAATTCTGCCTCTGAACTACTATGGGCTACTACACTTTGCTTCTTGCTTCTCCAAGTAACCAAGTTTCCCCAAACAAAGGTGCAATATCTAGATGTAGATTTTCTATCCTCTTGATCACCTACCCAATCTGCATTTGTGTAGAGTTCCACACCGCGCTTCTCAGATTTCTTAAACCACAAACCCCTTCCAGGAGTACCTTTGAAATACCTAAAAATCCTGTAGACCTCATTCAAGTGTTTCTGCTTGGGGTCATGTGAATGTTGACTCACCATGCTAACTGCAAAGGCAATGTCTGGCCTAGTATGTGACAAATAGATTAATTTCCCCACCATATGCTGATACCTGCCCATATCAACAGACTTGCCAAGATCCTCTTCATTGCTTATCTTGTCAACTCGGATGGGTGTATCTCTAGGTCTACACCCAAGCATGCCAGTCTCGTTTAAGAGATCTAGCACATATTTTCTTTGAAAAATAGATATTCCCTTCGTGGATCTTGCCACCTCCATGCCCAGAAAATACTTCATTTCTCCAAGATCTTTTATCTGAAACTCTTGAGCTAGCGCCCTTTTAAGATTTTTAATCTCTTCAGCATCATCGCCTGTAAGAACCATATCATCCACATAAACCAACAAAATAGTAATTTTAATGCCTCGGTGTTTGAAGAACATCATGTGATTGCTTTGACCTTGTTTGAACCTTGCCATTTTTAATACCCATGTGAGTCTCTCAAACCATGCTCTCAGAGACTGCTTTAGTCCATATAAAGACTTCTTCAATTTGCACACTTGATTCAGTTTATTTCTTGGGAACCCTGGTGGCAACTTCATATACACTTCCTCTTTCAACTCACCATTTAGGAAGGCATTTTTTACATCTAATTAATGTAATGGCCAATCAAGGTTGGCTGCTAGTGATAGAATTATTCTAACAGTATTGAGTTTGGCTACCGGTGCGAATGTCTCCGTGTAGTCTATACCATACACTTGGGAGAACCCTTGAGCGATAAGTCTCCCTTTGTGTTTGTTTAGAGTCCCATCAACATTATATTTAGGTGTGAAGACCCACTTACATCCAACTGCTTTCTTTCCTGGAGGTAATTCTACCACATCCCAAGAATTGTTGTTTGTCAATGCCTCCATTTCCTCCATTACAGCTTTTCTCCATTCAAGTACGGCCATGGCCTCTTCAATATTCTTTGGTACTGCAACACTGTCCAAATGGGCAGTAAATCCAGAAAATTTACAGACAATGCTTGATAAGACACAAACCTCTCGATAAGATGCCTAGCACAAGCTCTCAGCTTCTTCCTCATAGCTATCGGTAGGTCAATATCATCCTTACCACTTAATTCTTCCAGACTTCCTCCATTATCTTCTTTTGGACCTACATCTAGTTCTGACTCTTGGTCAGTGCTTGAGATATGGATCTGTTTACCTGTCTTGTTTTTCCGTGTATAGATCTGTGCAAATCTGGTGTCTCTCCCTGTTGTGGACGTCTCCTTTGGACTAGGATTTGGCACATCACTTCTAGTATTGGTGTTCTCAATTCCTAGGTCCAAATCAAGATCAGTGAGTTCAAGAGACAAATGATGAGGTACAGCAATAGGGTTGGGTGTTTCAAGTATTTCACTCATGTTTTCACACATACCAATCTGCAATTCATTCCAATTCTCCCCTTGGATTGGAGATTGGGAGTAGAAGGATTCTGTTTCGTGGAAGGTGACATCACAGGTGGTAAAGATACGTTTGGTGGTGGGATCAAAGCACTTGTACCCCTTTTTAGTGGCAGAGTAACCAAGAAAAACACATCGGACAGCTTTGGGGTCAAGTTTGTTTTTGTGATGAAGATGAACATAAGTAGTACATCCAAATACTCGTAAGGGTAAAGTATTTTCCAGGTAGGGTAGATTGTAAGTTTGGTGTAGAACTTCAATAGGAGTTTTATATGATAAGATATGATTGGGAAGGCGATTAATAAGGAAGGTTGCAGTTAGGACAACATTATCCCAGTGATATTTAGGAACATGACTGCTAAAGAGAAGTGCACGGGCTGTTTCAAGAATGTGCCTGTTTTTCCTTTCAGCAATACCATTCTGCTGAGGACTGTAAGGACAGATACTTTTGTGAACAATTCCATTGGAAAGTAAAAAGGTGGAGAGATGTTTGTTGAAATATTCTGTGCCATTGTCATTGTGAAGTGTTTGAATAGACATGTGAAACTAATTTTTTACCATATGATAGAAATCAATGAACACCTGAGAAACATCAAATTTGTCTTGTAGAAGGAACACCCAAGTAACGCAAGAATGGTCATCAATAAAGCTGATGAACCACTTTGAGTAAGTCTTATTAGGGACCCGAGAAGGCCCCTATAGATCACTGTGAATGATTGTAAAAGGTTTTGATGCAATGTATAGCTGATTAGGAAAGGAAACACAATGATGTTTTGCTTTTTCACAAGAGTCACAATAGAGTTGAGAATAATCATTTTTATTGCAAATTAAAGTAAACAATTTTGACATATACTTGAAATTAGGATGACCAAGACGTTTGTGCTACAACTCCAACTCACTAGTCTTAGGGAGAGACACTTTATTGCATGACCTAACATTACTGACTTTATTTCCATCCAGGTAGTAAAGACCATCAAATTCCTTAGCACTACCAATCATCATCCCTGTCAGTAGATCCTGAAAAAGATAATAAGTAGCAAAGAAATCAACATGACATTTCTCATTCTTTGCCAATTTACTTACTGAGAGTAAGCTACATTTTAAATTAGGCACATGCAGAACATGATGGAAGGTTAAAGTAGATGAGAGTTGTATACTCCCTATACTAGAGATGACCGACTCCAATGCATCGGCAATCTTGACTGTAAAGTTCTTTTGGCAGGGTACATAGGTCGTAAATAATTTAATATTATTAGTCATATGATTCGACGCGCTTGAGTCTACTATCCAACAGTCTCCAGTGCATACTCGTTTAATAGTAGCCAAGGCTTTAGAAAAATTACCTCTTTGTACCACAGTAGCAATAGGTTGCCTATTAGTTTGCAGGGCTGACAGCATTTCAATGATCTTACTTAGTTGATCATTTGAGGGCTGTGAATTATCATCTCCCATAGAGCTTTCAGCAACATATCCACGACTTTTTCCCTTTCTTGGCTTCCAGTTGGGTGGCTTACCATGGAGGTCCCAACATTTATCCTTTGTGTGGCCCACTTTCTTACAGTGTTCACACGTGGGACGTCCTTTAGTGCTTTTAGGATCATTAGATTTGGCAACAAGAGCAAATGATTCAAAGGTACTGGTTCGAGAAATGGGTTCATCTTTCAACATTACCTTCCTTCGAGAGTACTCCCTCCAGATCATTGCAAAGGCTTCTCGGACAGATGGCAAAGGTTCCAGACTCTGAATTCTGCCACGAAAATCATCCAAGTCTAAATTAAGTCCGACTAGCGACTCATACAGTCGTTCTTTCTCCAGCCGTTTTCTAAACCGAGCAGCATCCTCAAAACTGATCCATTCTTCAGCAATAATCAGATTAAGTTCTTGCTATAGAGCAATTTTTTCAAGGTAATATTCAGTTGGGTCACGATTACCTTGCTTCACGAGCCATAGCTTGGATTTAATCTCAAACACTTGAGAAGCGTTCTCCCCATCTGAGTATGCCTCCTTCACAACGTCCCATATCTCCCGAGTTGTTGGGAGAAATAAAAAACTTTCATAGTTGGTGCTATTGAATTAACCAGCCATGACCTTCTACCGCGAGCCGCACCGTCTGGGCCCATTCTCGGTAGTTGACACCGGTGAGTTTTTCTAAGACGAGAGAGACAAGTGAGCTCTCTTGGCCAGTCACGAGGTGTGCGACTTGACGTGAGCTCACACCGAACGAACTTTCCAAGCCAGTCGACTCTGTAAGGCTGAAAGTTTGAGTCCATGTCCATCTCTGATGATTCAGTTGCTCGTTCTTCGTGCTTTGATACCATGAAGATTTACTGAGCAAAAACTGAATTATTCTGCACAGTAGGTGGGTCGCATACATATATACATACAGACCATGATGTCAACCGAGATATAAGGCCGAGAATAAGGGATTGAGAAAATAAAATAAAAGATTTCCTAATATATATGATCCTATAATAACTATCAGATATTTACATTAAATATAGTATATTTCTACAATATTTAAGAGCAAATTCCTAAATGTATGTTTTTTGTGAATGATATAGTTCTTACTGTGGACACAAGAGAAGATATTAACTATAAACTTGAGTTATGAAAAAGGACATTGGAGTCAAAAGGTTTTCGTTTAAGTAAGAATAAAACAGAATATCTACATTGTAATTTTGATAGAGTCAGTGAATAGTAATTTGAAAGTGAAATTGAGTGATCAAATTATACTTTAAGTGAAAAATAAAAAATTTTGATAAGAACAATAAAAAATAAGCACATAAGGAAAAAAGTGGGCGTCACATCTATTAAAAAAATGGTAGAAAATTGTTTGAGGTGATTTGGACATGTATAAAGGAGGAAATGAGTAGCTTGAAAAGAGAGAGAACTGAAGTAATCAAAATAATTACCCAATAAGATGACTGCTCCATAATCAAGCCTATGTCGTATACAACGGCCTATAAAAAGTAAGAACATAATTATAAATGAGAACTTCTTATCTACAACTGAAAGTGCATAATAGGCAAAAAGGGTAATATAAAAACACTGAGCTAAGGAATAAACTTATGTCATAATATTGGGAAAAAACCAATGACCATGATGCACCTGCTGCTTGATTCAAAGCTCGAAATGCTTGATGGCAATACCACTCATTTCCACTCAAAAGATTTTTGGATGATTTGTATGTGTCGTTGTATTTCTTCTTTAGCGCAACTTGAATATCATTTCTTGTGAGAAGTCAAAACAAATCAATCAATGAAAATATCATGTGCCTGTGCTTAGAATTTAATTAGTAAAACTTAAAATGTAACCAGTTAAAAAGCCTTACATGTTGGGAAATGGAATGCCGACTATAATCTGAGATTGTCAAGAATATTCAATATTTAGTAAACATTCACGTAAATTAATATTGGCATTTGTAATATATGTAACCCATTGACATGACATGACTAAGGTGCAGGTGAGCAGCAATTTGTTGGCAAAAATAGAAAGAAGAGCTACAATTTAACCCCATATCCTAGCCACAATTTTTATTGGCAATCATCTGAGCAACAATAGTTAATCCTTCTTTTAATCATCTAAGAACGACCATCACTCAATTATCGAAAAATAAATACAACAGCCAGAAGGGAGATCTAGATCGACCAAACAGATAATTATAACATTTTAGAATAGAAATAAGGATACAACCACTCGAGCATTATCATTAGAAAAATCAATGCCTTCAGAAACCTGCAAGCATTAAAATGATGAATGAACAGTCACATAATAAGAAAATTTCATAATTAACCATGGTGGAATATGGTAGAACAATCCAGCTAATAAGGCCATATGCCCACATCAAATTGATTCCATTTACTTATATTTCAATTAGTGATAGTGTTTCACAAGCTCAGTCATCACATGCTTGTATTTAAATTGTATAATGAAATCTAGAGTCTATTTTTATTCATCTTGGACTAAGATAATGCCAATCTTAAAATTTTAGCAGTTTGAATAAATCTATGCCAAAATAATTTTCCATTGACCATTTTCTTTGGTGAACATCTGTATTGACATTTTAATGCAAAGATAATAGCTTTAGTACCAAACATGTTCCATTATTGAAAGGGAAAATTTCAAAAGTTGTGGAACCATTCCATGTATGAGTCTAAACACTTCATAAATGCTGTCAATTTACCTCACAAAATGTGAATGAAGGAATTTGATGTTTGATAGGTAACCAAGTGGAATGAGAAACCCTACCCTAAAAGCTAGTTGTTAAGGTGGGAAAACCAACCCACTTAAATACTCTATTTAATATCCCACACTACTCAATGTAGGATTTGATATCCTATACTACCAAGTCACCATCAATTCGAGACCATAAAAAGCCAATGTCCTAAAGACTACACTCTGTGGCACTTAACCCAACTTCCTGCTGGTCAAAACCCTCTGTCGGTAGCCCCTTCTGAAACCACTGACAACCAAGCTCCGCTACCAATTGATGGTTACCCAAGCAAAGTAGGGAACCCCAAAAAATAGATGTTAAGGTGGAAGAGCCAACTCAAATACCCCATTGAGCATCCCACGCTACTCAATGTGGGACTTGATATCCCATACTATCAAGTCTCTATCAATGTCTTTTCTATAACTTTTAAATATAAAGTCCTAACATATATTTGCTGTGCTTTATGTCAATTAACCAACACATAATATTTTAGACATGTTCATTTACAATGTACTTTGGATCCGATGACATAAAATAAGATAGTAGTGATATGATTATAGACCAAAATGCAGACACTTTTTCCTCTAGGTATATTAACTTACACAACCATTTGAATCAATTTCAGCACTACTTAAGCATAATGAAAGACCAATTGCCATCATTTAGATTTTAAATAAGAAATGCAGAATATAAGGTACAAGATAGGTGCAATTGCAATAAACCTTTCCTCGACAAACGCCAAGTAAAGCAGCTCCTCCTTTCTTAGAATTTTGTGGAGAATTGACTGCATGTAAGTGACTATAGCCAACATTCTTAACCCTTTTTTTCCTGCCCAATGCAGGTGAAGTGTGGAGATGAATTGAGTCATAATACCCTTTTAAAGCCAGATCAAAATCATCTTGGCTTCCTCCTCTAGGTTCTGCATACCCAGACAAGATATAGAAACAAAAGTGTTGTCAATAGACAAGATCAATTTCAAATACCAAAGTAAATTTTGCTCAATGTTGACTTTGCACAAAAAGGATGCAAATAGGAAACTGTCAATATTAAGAGAAACTCATTGTTTATTCACTAAATTCCAATGAGTATTTAGAAAGGCACAAGGATAACTGACCAACAAAAAGTGACTTTTCCGCATTTAGATGAGACCATTGACCTGTTTCGGACCATCGATTGCATAATTTCTCCATTAATTTATAACTTGGAAAGAAAACAAGACAGCCACCAGGGACAATTTTGAAGATTTCCTCTAAAGATCTTCCAACTGCATCCTACAAAGACACCTACAATAATAGTCTGTTCACATAGGCGAAGAAAAACACCTAGGGCTGAAAAATTTGAAATGAGTACCTGGAATGCATATACATCTGCTGTTTTATAACTTGCATTCAAAGGATAATTACCTGGACCAGTACAAATTACGGCAGGCCATACCTGTATGGAAGAGGTCAAACATTTGTTGAAATAACACTAACAAGAGTAAAAGGTCAGACAACTGATAAAGTGCGAAGATAGGACCTGAGAGTCAACATCAATTACATGTGGAGCCTCCAGACTAGTTTCAAACTGAACTCCTAGCTCAGAAGAAAAGGAGTTCAGTGGTGACAAAGTCCTAGAGTACCAAAACCAATGCAAGTGAGAATACTTAGCAGAATAATTAGAGGGATTTATGGAAAAAGACATGCCACGGCAAAACTGATCCTGCTGCCCTGCAATATCTGGTCCATGTTCTGGGTCTTGTACAAATTGATAAATAGATACATGCTTACAGATAAATAAATTGATAAGTGCTTTCTTTTGGAACATTACAACAGAAAACAGGCCACTCAGGATTTTTGACCATTCCAATAAATTTATTTAGCCAACCACAAGCATTCATGCACAGAACTGAAGAATACAAAAAGAACTATAGCCTGAATTTGCATAAACTTGGCCCAGGGAACATACCCAGAAGTCAAAATGACCGATAAAGAAAGATTGGCAATGTCACTAAACACAACTGCTGGATTCAAGCACCATAAACTCAAAGTGTGGGTCCAATTTCCAAAAGATCTTCCTGACACAGTAATATAACACTGATTACAAGGGTGTCCTAGCAGCAACAAATATAATGCAATTAATCAATTTATCTGTTCATTTTATTGCCAAATCAAGAGCAAGAGTCATTGTTTGTCTTCTCCAATCCATCCCTATAACACATAAACCTTCCTAACCACTTTTCATTCAGTGACAAGGGATAAACAGCATTACTATAAAGGGCTCTGCTTGAAAGTTCAACTACTTACCAGCTTCTTTCTTAACACTTCGCTGCAGAGCAAGCTGGTAATCCAGCATGTGAGAACCATTTCTTGAGAAGAAATATGTTAGTGAAGAGAATAAGCCTGAAACAAGATTGCCATAGAACATCATTAATGATATAATGTTTTATAAACAAAACAACACCATATACAATCATAATTCCACACCTTCTAGTGTCATTACTGACATGCCACTTAAATGTGGTACATCTAACTCCAAGTCTGAAGCAACTTTGATTGCCTTGAACAAAAAGACAAAATTGATAAGTGACACACAAGCACAGGAATTAGCCCAAATATAAATGAGATACCTTGGTAGCAGATTCTAGCAAGATAGGGAAGCACTGACGTGAAATATTTGCTTCTTGGAGTTCTGTTAAAGCATTTGACCCAGTCCAACTATGCATACAAACAACCTACAATGTTAATACCCTTGCACAATTTGTAGGCTGTAAGTTGCTTGAGATGTAAAGACATTAACTTTCAGACCATCAATTCAGGTAAGATAGAAAAAGAAAGAAGGATTAAATCAAAAGAAGTATGAACTCAAAATAATCCATCACTTCTCACCCAGTAAACATCAAAAGAGAAAGTATACATCCAAATGGTCCAGTCACTCACTCAAAACAAATGATCAAATAGGGAAACAAAAACCAAGTTCGTACTATAAATGTTTGAATATGCATGACATGGCATTTACTTAAAAGTATGCATAATCAAGTGATTAATTTTTTGGCACCTCCACAGGCTTCGAAACAGCAATAAAAATACTCAATTCCTAATTTTCTGAACACATTAACAATCACAGATTACATGGGGAGAAAAGAAAGGCATGCATTACTCATGAAGAATAGAAATGAACATTCAACAAGTTCAAAGTTAACAATAATATCAGCCCGTTAGAAGGATCCATATTAACCATACTGTGAAATGCAACAGTAAAGTATCTTGAGCTGTGCACATTAGCATATTGATATGATTGAATATGAGTGTTCATTCTTATAATATTGCTCCCCATAAAGCATGATTACACCATATATACAGAACATCATATGCTGTAATATAGTCTATGGTGCATGAATAAAAACAATGGATAAAGATGTGAAAAAGGAAGAAAACCTTGGCTTACCAAGATACATAGTGCTGAAAATCACGCTTTTCTAGTTTTTTTTTACTACGTTCTATCCAGCTTGTAAGACCCTAGACAGTTGCAGCTCCCATTAAAAATGCACGGATATTGGCTGCATGTTTAAAAGTCAAATATTTATGGTTCAAAATTAATTACCTGCACCATTTCATACAAAGGTTGGTATATCAAAGCATTGACAGGACAAAGTTGTTGAAGCTCCATTTGCAGCTCTTTCAAGAGATTATAACAACAATTTAGAATCATAATTACCAAGAATCAAAACAAGAGCTGCAAGATTGAGAGCATACTATCCAAAACATCCTCTTCAATATCAACACTACCAGCATCGCGAGTGATATCCTCTATATTGCTGTAAACAGTTGAGACTGGTGAAGAAAAACACCACATAAAACAAGAAAAGGCAATAAAGAATGTTCTGCATATTTTTGTCTGTATTTTATTAGAAATAAACCATTAATATATAGAGTGGGAGACAAGGATTCTGCCACTTACTCATAAAAGTTAAGAGACATCAGAAAGAAGGAAAAAAGGAACAGAAGGATGCAAGGAAAAACAAATATAATGAGACCTAATGATGAAATATAAGAATAACATACTTTAATGAAACCCAGGCTAGCAGATTATCATTGTATTTTACTCTAACTTGTGAGAAACCTCCCAGGTTATAGCTTATTCTAGGAAGAAATAGGTTTCCTTTTGTATTATTTTTGTAAGAGGAAATCTGTAACTTTATATGGATGGGTTATTAAGGTTTCCTTATTAGGTAAGAAAGCTTAGTTTAAATAGACTAAGCCTTGCACTTGTAAAGAAAGATTTGAATGAATGAGTATCATGCTGAAAGTCTGATCTCTTTCTCTCTCTGCGCATTCTACCTTCCTCTCTTCCTCCCCCTTACTGTTCTGTCTTCCTCTTTCCCCATTTCTCCCTCTCTGTTTCTAGTTTTCTCTACTATCTCCCTCTGTTCAAATTTGTGCAATTGTGTGCGTGTTATATCACCTAAGGGAAATGATCATTAGACAAATTTAAGCTTTAGAGATGAAATGATACTTGACAGAAACCAAAAGGACAAAAGATAAACTCACTGGGCTTCATCCAGAATCACAATAGCTCCTTTAATATCTACATCCATTGCTCCCCGGATGACTGGATTGATTATGTAACTATAAGGACAAAATACCAATTGCGCATCATCTGACATAGAGCGGGCTGCATAATAGGAGCAACCTGGAAATATAAAATGTCTTTGTCACATGTATTAAGATAACATGGAGTATTTAGTAGATAAAACAATGAAATCTTCCAAAACAGAAACAAATATTAAAAAGAATGCAATAAGAAGCCAAACCTTTCACTGCTTGTCCAACTTTCACAATATCTTCTATATCATGTACCTCATAACATCCTCCTCTTTGTAGGGATGGATGACTTTTGACTTTATGCGCATTTCTGTTTAATTATAAGTTTCTGGTTGCTTCTACTTTCATTGAAGATTGAGAGATAGTACATTAATAATTGGAAGGATGTGTAGGTAAGCAAGTACTCACTTGAATTCTGGGCATCCTATTGCCTGATCTTTCAAAAGTAGTTTACTGGAATCATTTAGTAAAATATATCAGTATAGAAATCAACAAGTCAACAATAGACTCATGGATTAAAATATTCATGAGGAAAAAAACAACCATTCTTCATCAATATTTTCTTTTGCTAGTATATGTTTATTGGTACAATAATGCTTCCGTGATGCCTGTCAAAGAAAACAAAAACAAATTATCAAAGCGATAAGAAGTAGGAAGAATTAAGAAGAGATATATAAGAGAGAATAGGAGAAAGGAATGAGGATATTATTATCAACTAACAAGACACCCCTCTTCTCACCCCTTTATATATCCATAAGATTCAACTAAATAACTAGCTAGCAAAAGATAAAGGATTAAGGAATGAGAAATGATATTATTGACTTCCAAGGCACCCCTTTACATAGCCATAAGATGCTAATAACTAAAAGACTAAAATCCCTAAAAGCCAACTATTACAAAACACAACCAAATCCAAATGACTTGACTACTATGATACTTAAAAGATCACATAGCTATGTAATCCAAAGATGACTAGTTGGATTACTGACATTGTAGAGCACATTGTTTCAAAAAATTTTGTTGCATAAGAACCCTCAATTTATGGTTCATGATCACAATGTTTCATTCAGCTAATTATATTTATTTAAAATTAATATAAAACAAATTATCAAACACAAGAAAATATTACCTAATAAAATAAGAGTTAAGCAAAAGTGTGTGCATGAAGATTAATTACATGCTACAAAATGCTGCTGGAGGAAACCATAAAAGATACATCTAAAAATGAATAAATAAAAGTAAATTACTCAGAACCACAAATTATCAGAAAACCTTACCCTTGAAGGCAGTTTACATTAAAAGAACAAAGATACAAAGCAGAGGATTTCACCTACCAGCACAGCCATAGGCACTCTATAAGCTGTTTTCCGCAATTCATGAATTACTTGAGAAATTTGTGAGTGTGTCCTCCTTATATATAGACAAGACACAACAAAAGATTTAGTCAAGTGATGATGATGATGATGGTTGATTGCAAAAGGAGTAAAATATCGATTGAATGTGTCAATTCTGCTCCAAATTTCTTACACACAGTCAAAACTCAGGTCATCTAATGCTGGTGAAATTTGGAAAAGCATAAAGATTGTTCAGAAATTGCCACCAACATGTAGCAGTAATTATCCTTTTAGGGCATATTCCAATTTATATTAATATGCTCCATCATTGGCTAACATTAATTCAGAAATAACCGGTACCTAACTATTGGTTGCTTTGTAGTATTCTTATGTCTTACGAAGGATTTGCCATCCTCTTAATTGTTGGTCACTTTAATTAAGATGATCCTCATGTATTTGCCTTTCTTCCTTATACAATTGATCTTATGCTGCAAGAAAAAAGCTATGATAATTGTGACTTCTTCTATGAACATGCATTGACATTTTTTGTTATATATTGTTATATGAACACTTTCCAAGGTATTTTATAAAATACAATAGCATCCTAGAATTTTACAAGAAAGTAATGCACAAGTATCTTGAAATTTTGTACAAGACACACGTACAAGTATCATAATGATTTAGAAGTAATAGTAGCATAAACGAATGAAGCAAAGTCTAAAATAACCATCTATTCATGATTTTCTTAAATATTTACCAATAATCATTTATGCAAATAATTCGATTGGTAAAAAATACGATAATAAAACTTACGAAGCATAATATATAGTGGGTGCAGCCTTTTTCTTCTGCATCTTGTTAGCCCCAGACTCTGGCAGCTCCACATTTTCTGATGCTGAAATCAAGTAGCATTGCTTGAGGACAATAGCGTACCAAACAAATAAAACATCAGATTGACAGATATTGGAATAAAACGTATAAATCACAAGTATGTGACACTCTGGACGTTAATCTAGTAATTTGATCTTCATAGGCATAGCAGACGAACCCTAATTCGTTAATTTGGGTAGGATAATGCTCTGATTGCAAACCCCCCATGAATATACCAGCACAACAACGAGGAAGAAATTTCCTGCTTCAATGAACATCATTTGGAAATTCACCGCAAAAACCCATAAAAAAAAAAGTCCAAAGAATTGTTTGTACTTTTTTTTCACGGAAGCACACGAGTTTCCTTTTTTTTTTTAGCGAGTTGAACGGCTGAAATATATCCATAGATATCGATAAAAAGAAAAATGCTAAAATACGCTATCTTATTGATCTCCCTCTGTCTTCTTGAAGACCTATTGAAACTTAAATGATGGTGATGATGATGACAATGATGCATTAGTTCTTAATGCAGTCAGCAGGAAATCCCTTACTCGGAAAAACCTCGTCAGGAACAAATCCACCACCGTAAACAAGAGGGTCTGTCGTTGCTTCTGGTGCGGGTTTCAGGTGAGAGAGATTTGTGTGCTGTTTATTTAACTTGTAGTTCTGCTGCCAAGCGAGGGAAGAACAAAGAAGGGAAAGGGACTTGCCAGTACCGGTTGGAGACTCGAGCAATGCGTGACAATGGCCTTCTCTCTGAGCCCGGTTAAGGGTAGAGATGACTCTACCCATAAATGCAAACTGAGAACCATATGGATGGTAAGGAAATTCCACTTGGAGGCCTCCGATGTGATACACATTTTTAGGGTTCTTGGCGCTCGTCGGTTTTGCAGAGACCATCTCCAGCTTAGAGACGTTCGGCAGAGTACATGAGATATCAGAATCAGATATTGATATGCCTGGGATGCTAAATTGCTAATTCGTGATTAAATTGCTCCCTTACCCCGGGATCTTTTTGGCGGGAATCCGAGCTCGTATAAATTTGCAGAGGGCGGCAGGATTTTCATTTCTGCTACAAATTCAACTAAAATAAAAGAAATTTGCCTAAAATTAAAGTTAAGTGCATAAAACACCGCTACGGTTTTAAAAACTCGATAATAAAATCTAATGTACTCTCTATTTTAAATTGTAAAATATTTTTAAATAAAATTATATTTAAAAATAAAACTCATTAAATATGTTATATATTTTTATTTTTAAAATAAAAATATTAATTTTAAAAAATATGCTTCATTTAATATTTTATTTATAAAAAATTAAAAAAAATATAATTAAAAAAATATAATTAATAAATTTTATTTTATTAAAATATTTTATATTTTGAAATATCAATCTAAAAAAGCTTTATAATTTAAAATAAGAGAGCACTATGTCACGGATGATATCTCCGTGACCGTGTAAAGACCAAGATAATGAACGGTCCGCTGGTTAGCCTCGCACAATATGGGTAAAGGGTGCGACATTAGCATTGGGGTGTTCTGCCTCAGTCTTCGGACTGTGTGCACAACTGGTCGGGGGCTAGTGCCGCCTCCCTGATGAGCTCATGGCAGGGCGAAACCAATGTGATCCGTACGTGGTAAGGCTTGTCCTGAGGATTATGGGGTCCTCCAGGACGCCGCACGGGCGCCGTGTGCTGCGCCAGACTCTCAGCCCGTGACAGAGTGGTATCAGAGCAGGACGTACTTTACTGCCGTGTGCGCGTGGGGTCCCACGTTGAGACTGGTCGGCCTCGGCACCGCTCCAAAAAGGCCTCCGAGCAGGTGGGTCCAAAAGTAGGGACTCGGGCGGGATGGTTGGCCGTTGTCGACTCCACTCCTGTTGGCTCGCGGGTGCAAGTGGGTCCGAAGGGTGCAGGACTCGGGTGGCCACTCAGCAAGTAAGCTGATGTGTTTGTGGCGGTACTGTACGTACGATCCTTGGGCGGAGTCGTTCTCCCCTAGCACGAGGGCGTGCTAGATTGGGTGTGGGAGAATGTCACGGATGATATCTCCGTGACCGTGTAAAAACCAAGATAATGAACGGTCCGCTGGTTAGCCTCGCACAATATGGGTAAAGGGTGCGACAGTAGCATTGGGGGTGTTCTGCCTCAGTCTTCGGACTGTGTGCACAACTGGTCGGGGGCTAGTGCCGCCTCCCTGATGAGCCCATGGCAGGGCGAAACCAGTGTGATCCGTACGTGGTAAGGCTTGTCCTGAGGATTATGGGGTCCTCCAGGACGCCGCACGGGCGCCGTGTGCTGCGCCAGACTCTCAGCCCGTGACAACTAGCTTTTCATTGATAAATTCATAATTATTAATAAAATATGAAATCGGTAGAAATTAGAAAGGCGCCAAGCCCACATCACAGTGATGAAATCGTCAGTTCCTTATTATTATTATTATTATTATTATTATTATAAATCGGTAGAATGGAAAATTTTAAGGCATTTGACGTGAATATTTTTGAAAAAATTGTTATAAAATCCCTCTTTGAAAGAGAAATTATTTTAAGGGATCAATATCAAGGGTGCATTTGGTTTCTCTACGTTTAGCATTGAAAAGTTGGTTTTTTACTTTTAGTTAGTCAAATATTGTCTAGGATCCATTTATCAAATACAATTGACTTTGAAAGTGGGTTGAAACGGCAAAAATGAGAAGCAATCGACCATGATACGCCCCTCGTGATTTTGTCCTTCTCGTGCAACTAGCTTGGGCTCAGAACTCATTTCATCGTTCTCTCTTCTGTGTGTGTTTTTTGTTGCCCAATCTTGCTCCTCCATCACTCCTTCTCTCCTTCGTCACTTCACTGTCTCTCCTCTTTCTCTCTTCCGCCATCTAGTCATAGATCTAACTCCCTCCATTCTTTCTTCCCCGAGCTCCTCATCACTTTTTGTTGACCTTCCCCACCATTCCAGTGCCCATTTCCTCATTTGTAGCTTGAATCTTTCACGGATTGAGCTTTTTTTCAATCTTGGATGATGTTGCAAAGCTGACAGAAGCGAAAACACCTGGGTTTGCAACCTATTGAACTAAACTCGGACCAACTCGAAACTTTGACCTCCTCTCTAATCTGCTCTTTCATCTAAAGGTATGATGTCTTTCAACCATTTTTTGCTAGATTTGAAAACGGTGGTCCTCTGTTTTGCACGAATATATGAAAATATAATGGCCTAGTATGTTCAACCAATGGTCCTCTGGTTTTTGGTTGGTTCAATTTTGATTTGCTAATTTTTTTGGGTAAAATGCTTATATATATATATATATTTGGTTATATGAAAAAGAAGGATTGGTATGTTTGATCGGTGTGTGCTCTGATTCTTTGTTGGAAGTATCAGGTTTTGCTTTGTTTTTTTTTCCTTAAACTTGTTTGCTCGTTTGGTTCTGAATTTCTTAGTAGAAATTTTATGCCTTGTAATGTTGACAGTGATGTAAACCCTCCTTGATGCCAACTCTTAGATTATGTAAAGCCTCTCATATATATAGACACAAAATCAAGGCATGTTTTTAATGAATATGAAATTCGATAAATTTTGAAAGAAAATTTATCCTTTACTATGAATGTGTTGTTTGATGTATCCTGGGAGTGCAAGAGAATTCACATTTTTTATTGAATATATTCTAATGAATGAACAAAGTTGTGTACATACTTTTCCTTAGTGAATGATGATTTATGATAATTGGAAATTCACATTTCTCATAAACTTGTATTATAGATTGCTATATTGAGCTTAACATTTTGATTAGAATGATTTACAATAATTGTGCTATATTGTGACCACATGTTACTATTTGGTAGAAAGTAATTCAAAATCCAACCATTTTGTGCTGGCTATTAACAATGAGAAATCTAGTGAACTTTTCTTGGCATTTTGTGTCTTATTCTCCTGATCTGCAAATTCCAAACCATTTTTTCTTATGGCATAAGACATATATAAAAATGTTACTGTATGGGTATTGGGGTACAAATTTTGTAGCCCTCTCACTTTCTTCTACTCATGTTTTTATAAGCGCAAAAGAGAAACACATAAAATAATAATTTAAAGATTCCCTAAGATGCTAACTGACCTTTTTGCATCAGAAAAAAATAAGAAATAAAAAGAAAACTACCAACGACCCAAGATCTAATCCACTAAATGAAAGAAGCCAATAGTAAAGTCGCAACTATCATGAAAGCAAAAAAAAAAATGTTTTGTCTTTGTGCAAAACTTTTTTCTCATCATCACCTTTCTTTTCTATTCTTATATGCTCTTTTTCTTTCTTCAAAGCTTTCTGGATTCTCATTAGCGTGCATGCATTGTGGAAAAGAGGGTTAAGTTCATTCATATAAACAAACACACAAACATAGGCTTCACAATATAAATCCAATAATAAAGGTTTGAAAAGTGTGCTTTTCAAAAGGTGATTAAGTATGTTAACTAACAAGACTAGTCAAAGTGTGCAATAAAGAAGATAGATTTGTGTGCAAATTGTGTTTGGTTGATATATATATATATATAGGTCTGATTTATGTTAATTAATTGTTGAGAATATAACATTTTGATAGTAAATATGAGTAAAGAGAAGGCATTGCGGATTGCTGAAGGGACTGAATTGTTCATCAAATTAGCTCTCCAATAAATTAGAAAAAATAAGCATAAAGGCTCTACCTTATCAAATAAAGTTTGGGATGTGCTAATGTAACAGTTCAATGCATTAAGCTCTAGAAGCTATGATAAGAAGTAGTTAAAGAACAAATAGGACAATTTGAGAAAAGATTGGAATATATGGGACAAACTGCTAAACAAAGAGATCGACTTGGGATAAGGTAGCGAAAAGAATACTGCATCAGCACTGGAAGAGTGGTGGAATCAAATTATTAAGGTATACAATTATATATGGCATGCTATATATTTGATGCTTTATTTTGTAAATATAATAGACTCAACTCTTGTAAATGAGCAAGAGAACCCTAAAAACAAAAAATTCAAATATAGACCACTTTTATATATACAAGAATTGACATAGTTATTCCAACCAGTTGCAACACGGGGTACTTACGTATGGACACTTACAGTTGATGATCTGTAAAATGTGTATAGGCCTAAATTGGATTTGACCGAAGGATCAAGAGACAATGATGACATAAAAAATGTTAGTAGAGGTGCTCTCCCAGAAATTGGGTAGGTTTACTTGAATAATGCATACAGTGGTAGTACTAATTTAGGGAGCAAGCAAAAGAGAGGTGAAAATGGTCAAAACAAGAAGGGAAAACGTCTTGCAACAATGATGATTAATTGAGTGAGCCATTTGGTTTCCACACAAGAGGATAGGGGTTTCAACACTGAAGTCAATTCTTAATTCCATAGAGGGTGGAACAAAACTAGTTGATCAAAATATGGTGGATATTGTAAAAGAACTTTATGGAATTAAGGAGATTGCTTGTGATGAGGCACTTCTTGAACAATGTGCTATGGCCTTGCTAGATAAAACTACAAGGGACATGTATATTGGGCATAAGGATAATAGAAGAGCATTAGTGGCCTATTTAAAGTACTTAGGCAAAAAAGCAGATTAGATCAATTATAGCTTGCCTTCTCAATGTTTTAAATCCAGCTAGTACCGTTTATGTTGTTAACTTTTTTTTTCAAACTGATTGTATTATTTGACTCTTGTTTTATATGTCTTTTATGTTAAGTCATGAACAATAGTGTAATGGTTGTTAAATTATGTTATGCAATTTTTATGAATAAAAGTATGCAGTCTTACTTATTACAATTACTTGTACATGTAGAAGACGATGAGGTTGAGGCTATTACTGTAATAGTATCTAATTATTCAACAACTTTACTGAAAGGGCCTTATAGAACTAGTTCACAATCAAGTTATGTATGGGTGGAAGAAATTTTGCAAGGGCATCCTCAACGTTGTTATGACATACTTCGCATGGAAAAAGATGTTTTTCTTTAACTTTGTG